ATAATTTAAGTAAAATAAAAAACCATCATTAATTCAAGATATGGCCTTTCAAGATTTTGTCGCTCTTGTAAATATTGTTGTCAAGATATCGAAGTTCAAGATTTTGAAGTCCTCCCGTCTAGGTCACTGTAATGGAAGTACTAAATTTGAATTCAATGACATAAAATCATCAAAAAAATGATTATGAGTGAAAACAGTATGTCAGTCTAAATTAACAAATATATTTTATGATTTGAATATATTATTGCTATAAAGTAATTTATTTTTCTAGATTGAATTAATTTTTGCCAAAAGTATTTCATTTGAAAATTTCATGTTTTGTATAAAATATAATAATATTCTGTAGAAGTTTCAAGTTGGTTCCCAAATAATATTTTAAATTATAATTAAATAACTAAAATTGTTATTTGTTTAAATATCTAATTTCATTAAAATTTGAAGTTATCATATCTATAAAAAGAAAACTGATTGATTTTTAGATTTTTTTGGTGACAAATATGAGCAATTTAAAAATATTGTCGACTGTCGTAATACAATTTCAAGCTTTTATGACCTAGTGAACAATTTTATCACTATTTTTAAAATAAAAAATAGTCATTTGGTGAAAATTTAGAGTATCTATAGCACTCATTTTTGAGTTACACAAAAAAAAAGATGATTACTGGCACAAAAATCACGTCATTTAAAAAGGAATTACATTCATTGCTCTGCTTAGAATCTAAAAATTCATTATATCCTTATGCTTTATAGATTACAGTACTAGCAGATGTGACTAAAGCGCAGCCTTTGGTTTTTAATTGTGCAATTCTTTTTAAGAAGTTTTTGAAATGGAATGCTATACAGATTTTTTAGTTCTTAATAATTCTGCCTCTATTTATAATTTAAAATCAAATACCAATGAATATGTAAATGTTCAAATTAATAATTTTTAGTCATTAATTGTGTATAATATGTCGAAAAAAATTAAAAATATAATACAACTAAATTTATGACTAAGGCATAATAATAATAGTACTTAATCTTTTTTCAATAAAATTATATTTTATATTTTTTTAAACTTAGATGAAACAAAATATAGCTGCTGAAAAAAAAATCATGAAAGAAATAACCAACAGACAAGAAGCTGACCGTAAAGCATTTGACACTCAAAGAAAAAAAGATTATAAAACCAGTAAAGAGCGATGGAAACGTGAGTTATTATTGGATGAATCCACACCTAAGCGACAAAAAGATGCTGCTTTACAGTTAGTATGCATATATTATAAAATAATTATATATTTTAAAATTAATTCTTGTTTACAGATCTCAAAAAGAAAACCTTAAACAAATGGAAGCTCAAGAAGAACACAGACTTATTCGAGGTCAAAAAGACTATTTGGAACTTGAAATTAGGAAATTTCGTAGAAAAAGGCTTAATCAATACCATTTGTATGAACAAGGATTATTAAGAGAAGTATGTATTTTCAATTAGTTACATACTTTTATGTTCAGTTAATTGAATGGTACATATTAGTTTTCAGTTAACTTTTGGCAATAAATTAATCTAGCTTTTCATTTTTAAATGCTTTGATGATATGTCTATTATTAGTTCTATTTTTGACAACATTCCAATCACTACCCCCNAATAGTATGGACAGAGAATATTCGTGCCATACCCATCTATTCAAATATTTAAAATGACAAGTGAAAATAAATTTGGAGAAATCTTCCATTCTATTATCCAAACTTATAATCAATTATTCATTAGAGTTAAGAAATCAACTTTTATTCAGTACTTTATAAGGACAATTAAAAAAAATTTTATACTATTATGATTTATTACATCATTTAAAAATAATGAATAATATATCAAAAATAATTTTAATCATGAATTTGATAAGGTTGGCTACCAGTTAGGCTTATTATTGACAATTTTATTTAATTCTTTTGCTAAATTAATCCAAAACTAAAGGAGACCATTTGTATTCATTTTTAAAGTTATTTGAATAATGTTGTTTAATGTTTACAGGAACTTGGAAAAAGGCAACAGCAGTTGGAAACTGCTCATTCTATGTTATTACGACATCATGAAGATACTAGAAACCTTGAAACAAGACAACAAAGAGCGGTTCACGCTTTACGCGCTGATCAAGTAACCAGACAACATGAAACTGAATTACAGCACCAACATGATTATTGTGCTCGTGCCCACCGAGATTTACGGAAAAGACATGCAATGCAACTAAGGCAACAACCTAAAAGTCTCAAAGTGAGTCTAATATAAATTGTTCAAGAAAATGAAATGGCTACATTTAATAGGTTGTGTTGTTTCTGTATCATAAATGTACAAAATAACAAATTTGTATTTCATAGTTCCAATTTTGTTTAATTAGTTTTCACCAGTAGTTAGGAATGTTGGGACGCAACTAGTTCTTTGTAGTACGCTAACGTATCTACAGCTACTTCCTCTAAAAAATTAGCTTGCTATCTCTTCTTTTGTGCTATATTTTTCTATTCATTTTGTTATTATAATCAGATACAATTTTAATACATTTAATAGTTATCATAATATTTTAAATGTCACCAAATAGGTTGTAGCCTGTAGGTACTGCAAACTGTAAATTTCTAACTATAATAGTATATTTTGCTACATTAGGTTTATTGTAGCGGCGTTATGTTATTTGCTTCACATACAGTAGCATTCTACAATTAGCACAATACTCCTGACAACAGGCTTTAGGAGTAGATTGATTTGATCTATTATCAAACTGTAAGGTTAGAACTAAGAACATTATGTTTCATCACAGATTTTTTAAAAAAATTTACATTAATTTGACTTGCATCATAATAATTTTAAAACACATGAGAAAAACACAGATGTTTCTAATTGTAAGGCCTACTTCTCTAAATTGGAACTACTGAACCAAATTTTCTGATAAATTGAGGTAGTCATTTGAGTTCATCATTGCACTTAATTTGAATTTGTGGACAGTTAACTTAAATCTATCAAACTATATTAACAATAAATTTAATTGTTGATTATATTACTTTTTTACTAGGTATAAATTAATAAAAAAACCACAAAAAAAGAACAAAATGAATTATTAAATTAAATTATTGCTTGTATATTTTAGCATAAAGAAATGCAAATTAGAAAACAGTTTAGAGAAACGTGTAAGACTCAAACACGACAGTACAAAGTTTTAAAAGCTCAAGTACTGGCAACTACAACCAAAGAAGAACAAAAAACTGTAATAAAAAAATTAAAAGAAGAACAACGAAGAAAATTAGCATTGCTCGGAGAACAATATGAACAAAGTATTTCTGAAATGTTACAAAAACAATCTGTAAATTAATGAATTATTATATTTTTTGAAGTTTAAATTATATTCTAATACATTTAAACGTTTTAGATACGACTCGACGAATCACAAGAAGTTGAGTGTCATGTGCTTAAAGAACGTTTAAGATATGAACTTGAGATATTAATGGCTTATCAATCAAAGAATAAGATGCAAGCAGATGCTCAAAGAAATCGTGAAAAAAAAGAATTAGAGGATCGTATCTCAGTTCGAAGATCATTACTAGAACAAAAGGTGCTGTACATAATAGTTATTAAAATATTTATAATTTAAGATTCTCAAAAGTTACCATTGCTTAGAAATATAAAATATTGAATTTATAAAGTTAATTAACAAATAATGAAAAAAAAACTTATTTTTATTTAGTAATATACTAATTATCTCCATTGATGTTTTTAATGCTGTTTGAAATAATACATTTATTAAGAAAAATAGTCTTATTTTGTTTAAAAGCTGTGTCAACATATTATTATTCTACTTATCAGGACTAAACGGGTATGATCATATCGGAATCTATTCTCTTCCATTCTAGTACAACATTCCTACTTTAATTTCATTATTTTATTGGTCATAATAATTTTGGTGGGTGCCAATATTGTATCATTCATGGATATTACATGATACCATAACAGTATGTCTAACACCTAAGTCGTTAAGTCATAAACTCATCTCATCTCATAAAAAAATTTTTAATTTTAAATTCATTGATTTAAATATGATCTATTGTTGATAATACAAAAGACAAATAGACTAGGTCTGAAAAGAAACGTGATCCTATGTGATACCTATCTATTTAATCATGGTAGTAATTAAGTTTTATTTTATTAAATTCCAGATGGAGATGGAAACAAAACAATTTCTTCAAGAGCGCGGGGAACGTGTTCGTCTTCTCCGTGAAAAACAAGAAAGAGAACTAGAACAGTTTGATGAAGAGTCAGCCCGTTTAGGTTTTAGGTTTGTATTTATTTGTATTGTTTAATTTATTATTATTAATTGTACGATGGAACTATTTTAGTGCCTTAGCGATTGCCGAAGCATCGAGTCTTGAACAGGATAGTTTGTCTGGCAGTGTGCTTAGCCTAGCACGTAGCAACAGTACTAACTCATTTCATGACGGAAATCTATAGCCCCACATGTTTCTATGTAAATAATTTTACTATCTACCCTTTCTAACAGCTTTTTAATATTTACACATATCAAATAGTAGACAAATTTCTCATTTAAATTTGATTCTACTTAAATATTTTTATCATATTCAGTATTAGAAAGCTTAATTAACAGATTGAAATTAACATATTTTCTTGAAAACAAATTAATAATAATAGCATTGTATAATACCATAACATTTTATTTGTATAATAATTATAATTACCTACTGTAATCCCATGATACATTTTGTAGACATTGTTTCCTTTTGTAATTAAATAACGATAAATGTGAACAAAATTATTTACTTTATATATATTTATATATATTATTATTATTATTATTATTATTATTGTAACGTTTTTATTATGTACATATATCTATTATAGTAAGTTGAAAATATTTAAATGTATGTGTTGAATGTATTTGATTTTTTTTGTTCTTGTGGATAATTTGATTTTTTAAATTAATCGTTTACATTGCTTTTAAAGAACATAATAAATTATACAATGATTCCGATGACCTGCTTTTTTTATTATTTTAAGATGAACCAGCTTATAGACTATAAATCTAATTTGCTTTCAGTTTTTACAAGATTGATTATAAAAACAATATAAAGTAAATAATTGGAATGATTATATAATAAAATTGTGGGAATTAAAAAAAAAAATTCGATAATTGTAATCATTGTGTTTTTTTTTTATTGCAAATACATAATTTATTTCTTACATTTCTTATTGGATTCATTAGGATTCCTTTTCATCCATTGTTTCTGTACTGAACCTTTGAAACCAAGCATGGCAGATTTGGAATAAACATCCTTTGTAGCGAAAGGAGACAATTTAGCTGTATAATCTGGGTCCAAAGCATTGGTTTTGGATTTAGCCAACCTAGTTGGTCGTTGATGTGGCATTGGTTGATCTTCTACCAGTCTTGGGTTGACTGCGTGTTTACCACCTTGTGGTTTAGGTAATGAATACTTCTTACCTTTAATACTTAAAGGTCTTTTACCATTAATGTACACACGTTGTTTTCCATCTTCATCCAAGTACACAGCTACTCGTTTTAAGCTTTTGTTCCCACATTTTGGGCAAAATAATCTTGTCATATTGGATGTCAATGTAAAGCATCCATAACAGCGTCTTATGTAAGTCCGAACTTCTTTAATCACACGGCCATCTAATGCAATAACAGAGAGGCCTATTTGTTTGAGCACATTTTGTACGGCATAATCAGTGGTAATGCAACCGACTTTGGCTTTTTCTTCAGTGAGATCGTCTCCATTATTTTTATTGATATCTTTTATATTATCTTCTGTAATCCACCCATCATCAATCTCCAATTCTGACACATCATCACTCAAACGGTCTGGATCATAAAATCCAACGGTATTTTCATTAACCTCAGGTTTTTCAAACACAACTGATTTAGAAATTGGTTCAGTTCTCAAATTGTCTGTACCATAATTTTCTTTATGTATCTGATAAGCCAAAGCTATTACTTTAATATCGGTGACAGATAGATTCGGGTAGTCACCAGTCTTTTTTGAAAAATCAACAACAAACTGAATATGTTCGGGAAACACGGTTTTAATGTTGAGAGTGTAAGGCAATACTGATAGATCTGTTTTTTGACGTTTATTTGTCACTTCGTTCACCACTTCTTGAATAGTGTGGATGTTCAAACCGAAGTCTTGGAGTGGTGCTTTGTCAATGAAACCGGCGGTATCCACAACCAAATGTTCAATTTTACTCATTTTACTCAATTCGTAATTTCATTACACAGCACGACAATATAGGTACACGTGAGAAGTAACAAATAGGCGAAGGCAAAGAGTGTAAAACGTAAATTTGATAACCACAAACCATGAACTAAGATATATCTTAGTTCATGCCACAAACTACAGACTTCTTTGATAATACTAGATAGCGAACTCTCGTTATCAGATGAAGCAATTTTTTATCAGTTACCTTACCGCCATCGGGCGCCATATTTTCAGTAGGCAAAGCATTAATTGAATGGAATGAAACAATGTACACTGTACAGTACTCCCTCGAACAACACGACGGGACCACAAAGTAACCTGTTCGTGTTAAAAAAATTTGTGTTAACTGATAGGTTATTTTACATTCAAATAAATTTTTTTATTTATGTAATCTTCAAAATATAAATGTAGATTACTTTGGTACATACATACTACATATAAACAAATATTTTTAATTAATTAATTACTACGCTACATTACATAAAAAGAAATATTTTTAATACATTTTTTCAAAAAAAAATTAATTTAAAACTCACGTCGGTTTAAAAAAGTCAGTGATAGGTTTCTGGGTGAATGTAACTTCATAGTTTTCTAGTCACTGTTTCCTGATGCTGTTCAACTGGTCATCAAATTTGCAATCTAACTCTGCACTGGTGACTGGTTTGGGAAAATTTGACGAGAGTATCAAAGGCTGCCAACACATCAGCCCGAGAGGATTTATCCACTGGAGGTTCAGTAGGTTCAATTTCTTGATCTAAAATTTCGGGTTTTTTATCTTCTCCATCTTTTCCAGCATTTTCATCGCAGACCTCGAGATCATTTCCATTTGTATAAAAAATAGATACATATGTACATATTGACATTTTTCTATTCGTGTTAATCAACAAAACGACAATATGGTACCTTAAATTTGTTCGAGTTTCGTGTTAACCGAAATAATTCGTATAAACCGAGGAAATAAAAAAAACCCCATCTTATAGTATAGAGCCTTTCTCGGGACCGAAAAACCGGTTCACGTTTTCCAATAATTTGTGTTAACCGAGTTCCTGTTAGCGAGGGAATACAACTGTATAATGTAAAATGTTTATTATGCAGTAAACAGAATAAATTACCACAGGGCACAGACAAGTACATTAAAGAATTTGTGAGTGCCTATTGCCGTTGTGTTGCACTAGTGTTGGCAGCACTTTCGACAGCAGCGATGGTGCTTACATAATTATTGGCTATATTCGTTATTCTCGTTATGTTGTTTAAAAGTTGCTCCCTTCAGTCTCTCCTCTCTTTGCCGTCGTTCGGATAAGTCCTATAGCCTTTAGGGGTAATAGTAATAGCTGCTACCCAGTTATTAGTTAATCGTTATTACGTAACAGCCACCTTTTTTTGTTATGCATGCAAAAACTTCGTGTATTTTTATAGTGAAGTTTTTTTATATTATTGTCTGCTGTGATCAACGCTGGTTTTCTTGTTCTATTGTCTGGTAATTATGGTTCGGCAACTCTAATTTGAATATTTTATTGATTTTTATTATTGTTAGCCTAGGGTTGTCACTTTACCAGCAATAGGACAATTCTGACACCTTGTGTCTGTTGGTCCAGCTTTGTGAATTGCACGTTGTTCATTTGTTTGGCTGGTTGTCTTGTGCCAGTACCATTTGTTCTGTGTGGCCATGTTATGTAAGTGAATTATACCTTTTATAGTTGTGTGAGCTGCAGCTCGATATTTAGTACCAGTGTTTTAGTCACCTCAGTAAATTTATATGATTTTTAGGCTGACCGCCTGAGGCACTATTGGCATTTTGCTATTATTATTATTATATTGTTACAAAGGCCGTTTAAGGCAAGATTGATTTATTATATTATTATTATTATTGTCACCAGAGCCATTTTAGCCATAAGTGTATTTTTTTCAGTGTAATTATTTTGCCTTAAGCGTTTGTATTATTTATTATATTTATTTCTGTCATTTGAGTCAACTTGGCTGTGAATTATTAAATTATTTTCTCTATTGTAATTATATTGGACCAAGTGGTCAGTTATATTCTATCTCATTCACATTTATATATTTATTATTGCTAATTTGCATTAACTATTTGTTTATTATATTACCAACCGGGCAGTTTGTTTTATGATTCTTATTCTTATTTATTTATTCACCTTTATATATTATACAGTCCACTAAATCCTTTTTTATATAGCGACAAGGCTCGTTCACTATTATTGTGGTCACATTATGCGCCAACAGTTAAAGTATGGCTTTCGGGTCTGGGAATAAAATCCCGAAAAAATTCCTTAGTCCATATCACTACCGTACTACTATCACTACAGCAATACTCCGCAGTGTCACCACAACAAAAATAATTAAATACTAAGTAATCTCAAAATTATCCTATGTCCAAAATAAAAGTCTGTTTTTATCACTTGTTCATTTTCTAAGTCCAAAATGATATTTAAAAAATGTGACTGACATGGAGGTCCTCGGTTTTTCCGAAACCGAAAAAAATGTCAAAATATCGAAAAGCGTCTTTAAGGGGTTTTTATTCGTATAATATTAGGTATTATATATACCTTATAATATATTTTATGAACTTAAAAATTTGGTGGCCCTGAAAAGGGCCGTTTTAACTAGATGGTCCTTAAAAGAACAATTTATACTTGCTGCAACCGACGGATACGATTTCTGGAAATAAAACACAACATGATTTTATTTAAATATGACATTTCGTGAATACAATGAAAAATTTGGTTATTTTTTAAATTGGTGCTGTTTAGTATTTTAAGTGCTTACTTTGAATTTCAGCGCTCAGGACATTGGTAATTTTCAATATCCCTGATCATAGGATTAAATCTGATTCCAGAATATGCACGTGCTATGTCAGACATAAGTCGTACAAATTGGTCCCTGTATACTACCACATCTCTTTAGGATATTTGTACGGTACATCCACTCACCAACGTACAAGTCAGCTACTGAATTAGAGTTACATCTGATTAATATGCGTCTTAACTCTCTCCAAGCTCGTTTAATGTGTTTAGTGTGATACCGAATTGGGACCAGTCTGTTATTAGGTCGGACTCCCTCCCATTGCTTATCCAAACATTCAGGTGAAAACCGCCCTGCTGGCCCCCAACATGGAGGCAAATGTTTTGGCGTCTCCAAAAATGTGTAGAATGGTTTACAATACCATGACCATAAAAAAATATATGTTCGTTTCATACAGGATCTTAAATAAATATACAATAATTTTAAACTAACAAACTACATTTTGTAAGTTTTACCTACGTGTTTCAATGTTTGTAATAACAGCAAAAAAATCTAAAAAAATACATTTAACTCAATAAGTTGAAACAAATACCTCTTACTTTTTTTTTCGCAAAATTTTCGTATCAAAATTTTTCAAAATATTTTTTTTCAAATTTTTTGTTTTGATCTTACATACAATTTAACGTTTTGAAACCCTCTCAAAGATAATTGTTGGCAACGTTGCATGCCCAATTTGCTCATCAGTATAATAATTAAGGGTATTTTGTTTCTTTATTTTGGGCCTAAATATCCTGAACCCATCGAGCCACATATTTGCCTCTTAATAACCCGATAGCGATACCACATAGAGTCAATGGCTCTCAATTATGATAAACAAAGAACAGTAGATGATATGTTTTCGGTGAAATTACAAATACCTCTTACTTTTTTTTTAGCAAAATTTTCTTATCAAACTTTCTTCGAAATTTTTTTTTTCAAATTTTTTGTTTTGATCTTACATACAATTTTACTTTTTTAAACCCTCTCATTGATGAATAATGTCAACAATAAAATCCAAATTTGGTCATCAGTACAGTTCTTCTGGGTACTTGGTTTTTTTATTTTGGGCCTAAATATCCAGCAACCATCGGGAAACACATTCGCTTCTTAATAACACGATAGTGATACCACATAGACGCAATGGCTCTCAATTATGATAAACAAAGAACAGTAGATGATATGTTTTCGGTGAAATTACAAATACCTCTTACTTTTTTTTTCGCAAAATTTTCGTATCAAAATTTTTCAAAATATTTTTTTTCAAATTTTTTGTTTTGATCTTACATACAATTTAACGTTTTGAAACCCTCTCAAAGATAATTGTTGGCAACGTTGCATGCCCAATTTGCTCATCAGTATAATAATTAAGGGTATTTTGTTTCTTTATTTTGGGCCTAAATATCCTGAACCCATCGAGCCACATATTTGCCTCTTAATAACCCGATAGCGATACCACATAGAGTCAATGGCTCTCAATTATGATAAACAATGAACAGTAGATGATATTTTTTTGGTGATATTACAAATACCTCTTACTATTTTTTTCGCAAAATTTTCTTATCAAAATTTTTTTTTCAAATTTTTTGATTTGATCCTGCCTACAATTTTACTTTTTTAAACCCTCGCAAGGATGATTAATGTTAACCTTGAAATCCAAATTAACTCATCAGTACACTTAATCAGGGTACATGGGTTTTTTATTGTGGGCCTAAATATCCAGCAACGCATCGAGCCACATATTTGCTTCTTAATATCCCGGTAGCGATACCACATAGACGCAATGGCTCTCAATTATGATAAACAAAGAACAGTAGATGATATGTTGTCTGTGATATTACAATTACCTCTTACTTTTTTTTTCGCATAATTTTCGTATCTAAATTTTTGCAAAATTTTCTTGCCAAAATTTTTTTTTTCAAATTTTTCGTCTTGATCTTACTTACAATTTTACATTTTTAAAAACACTCAATGACGATTAATGTCATCCCTGAATTCCAAATTTGCTCATCAGTACACTTATTCAGGGCACATGGGTTATTTATTGTGGGCCTAAATATTCAGCAACCATCGGGCCACATATTCGCTTCTTAGTAACCCGATAGCGATACCACATAGACTCAATGGCTCTCAATTATGATAAACAATGAACAGTAGAAGATATGTTTTCGGTGATATGACAAATACCTCTTACTTAATTTTTCGCAAAATTTTCGTTTCAAATTTTTTTCAAAATATTTTTTTTCAAATTTGTTGTTTTGATCTTACATACAATTTAACGTTTTGAAACTCTCTCAAAAATAATTGTTGGCAACGTTGCATGCCCAATTCGCTCATCAGCATAATAATTAAGGGTATTTTGTTTTTTTATTTTGGGCCTAAATATCTGTTTCATTTCTACAGAGCTGCGGACGTGTAGAGGATCGAATAGATGAGTCCACAGCCCACACCCCTGCACTACCGCTCATCCCTAATGGAATTTACGATATACCACTTGCATCCCACAACATAATATAACATATTTTATTTTATCTAATCGTTGGACCTTAAGTCGTCTCAGCAATATTCTATACACGTATACACTCGACCCTATTAATTTATACATTTATCTATTGCTACTTATTTTTTTCTTGGGAATGAGATAAAAATCATTAATTTTTCTTTTAAACCGATTCACAGGTGTATTTTACCCCCCGTCGGTCGGCTCCGTCCGTCCAGGCCGCTTTTTCGTATACCCTCTACACCTGATCCTCGTCAACTGTCTCCTGCAGCCTACACATTGTACCCAATCACCCAGACCGCACTAAAATGAGATTTATGGTATTTACTACATAATATGTATAATATGATATTCGAATATTTGTTTGTCTCGTTGTCTTATGGCTATTTTTCTAGAATAAGGTGCCCACATATTTTTCGAAAATATACGGTCACCCACTGGAGGTTATCCTCCCGACCCAACCGATTTAAAACATTTGCTAGTGGTTCATATTATATTATCATGTGACGACTGCAGGTAAGCCACCAAAATGTGGGCACGAGGTAATCCCCGTTTTTGCCATTCAACGGAATACATCTAGCATCGTGTGGGACCGAATACGTGGAATTTTGTAATGAAATTTATCAAAGACTTCAGTTTTTGTCTGAACCCACGTGTTGTGATATCTTGGCGTTGTATTGGTTTTTGGCCAGGCAATAGTAAAGATATAATCTGCCATTTTGGATTACATGTGAACGTGATAAATAAACACGGCCGTTGATATAAATCCGCATATAATTTTTTATACCGCCGTCAGTCGGTCGGTCTATAATATATATATTATATATATATATATATATAAGACGGACATTACTGGGACCCTTCGAACCGTCAAGCCGATTTATATTGAGGTAACCGGCCAAGACTATAACTATTATTCGTTGAAACGGGAGAAACACGTCGTTTACCGAGAACTTCACAACCGAATTTTTGTGATGAGTTTGGGGGTGATTGGTCGGTTTACTTTGTTTCATTTTCAGTAACTGTTTATATTCATATACGTCAATGCGTGCTGGAATAAAGTCTTAAAATATAGTGCTTATAAGTAATAATAGTTATAATGTATGATATGTACAACAGATAATATCAAGTACACATCAATTAATACTGCCCTACTTATTGGCTATATAAACGTTAAATCATCTCATAAAACTTCAAATACATTGTTGTGTTGTGTTTTAGTTGACCATCCAACAAACCTGTAGCTTAACACATGTCACATACCCAGGTGGAAGGACACACCATAGGTTAAAATATTTAAATTCCTCAAAGTAAGTTATTGTGAATGTTGATGGATCGGTAATTTACCAGATATTTACTACTATCATAGCGAAATAGCTATTGAATATTGAATAACCGTAATAAATTATAATATGTTGTTTATCTTAATAAATCAAGTAACAGGTAGTTTCCTGTAATACAATTAAATAAAAAGTAATATATTTATTACGCATACTACTCACTAATACGTAAACAATTATAGGGTATCTGTATATTATGTATTTCTTCTAATTTATGTTTGTTAGATTATAGAAGAATACAGTTCACAAATAGTCCATTATAGTCTATGCTTTAAGGAACAGTAAGTCAATGGTGTATGTTGTGTTGTGTTTTATCAGGGTGAGTATTTAATAGATAAGAACCTTCCTTGTTTAATGTCTATTCTTTGGGACGACTACGAATTGGTTCCCGAGTTGTCTACAGGTAACATACGAATTGGTTCCCGCAAGCTTTCGTGATAATACAGTCTTGTTAAAATAACTTTTCAAATTATTATTCAACCAGCAACAATGTCCTTCCCATTTATTCAGACTTGGGACTGCCTAGAATTCAAATAAGTTCGAATAGTTCAAACACTATCTAGAATACCTAGGTATGGTTAAAAATGTTGCTCAGTATAATATATTAATAAATACATAATATACGCTACATACGTATTTGTCAATAATAATAATAGTGCTTGTAATAAATAAGTATAATAATAAGATAATAATAACTAATAAACGATGGTTCTTCCCACGCGGGTTCTGCAATTTTATTTAAGTCAAATATTAAACATACCATTCTTCCACCATATCAAAATAACGTCATACAGTCCACTAACATCTCCCAAACACTAAATCATATTCCTACCACTATCTCCTCGACCTACATCCGTCCAGGCGCTAAATTAAATCCTAATAATTTCGAGCACTTTTTTAACTCCCTCGGTAATTACTTCCTGGTAGGTGGGGACTTCAACGCCAAACATCCCCAGTGGGGTTTTAGCCAACTTAATACTAGAGGTCGAACTCTCAACAAATTTATCCTCGATCACAATCTTAAAATAATATCTCCTCCTAACCTCACATGCCAATAGACGTCCCGACGTTCTAGACTTTTTTATCACTACGCTCCCTAGCCACATAAAGTTTACTATTACCAATTCCTCAGACCTCTCTTCTGACCATACACCAATATTAGTCACTCTAAACGATACTTCAACTGCTACAAAAAACTACCCAACTATCACTCCGGGCAAAACAAACTGGAAAAAATTTAGTCAAACTATAGGAAATACCATCACTCTCAACATCTCCTTAAAGAACCCATCTGACTTAGATACCGCAGCACACTCTTTCACAAATATCATTCAACATGCTGCACTCGACGCTTCTAAAAACAACTCTTCCACCACTCACACAATCAATGTTTTACCCTCACACATAACATAACTCATTACAGAAAAGCGTCGAGCCCGCCGTATATGGCAAAGAACACACTTGCCGAGTGATAAAAGGCATTTCAACACTCTCAATACCTCCTTAAAAAATATTCTTCGAAAATACAATTCCGATAAATTTCACAACTACTTGGAATCTCTCTGTTTGCGCTGCAAACAAATTTATGTTCTGTCTTTATGTTATAATTGTCATGTGCACGTAACGGTGCGTTCCACAGTTGCAGCCTTGTCGGCGGATGCTTATCAGGCATTCGTGTGCGACCGGCCAGCTGTGGAATCATTATCAATGTTTTCATTATATTCGGTTATGTTCAAACTTAAGTTTTTTTTTGTATAGTCATGCTTTCAGTGTCATAAAGTTCATTGTTTTTTCCGTTATTTGTTGTTTAGTGTGGTGACACTGAAAGACCGTTCTTTTAGTTTTCTTGTTTATGCTCGTCCGTTATTTTACGATTCGTTTTTTGTGCTCGCATCTGAGCGGTTGACAACCATTGTCGTTAGCTGTTTTGCAGTCAGCCCAAACCACGTGTTGTGAATTTATGATTAAGCCTTTGGTAATTATCGTTCTCAGCAATTGTATTGCCACCATTAATTTTTTTTCCCCAGTATAGGGTGGTCAAAATTACCAGGGATTTGTGTTGCGATTACCGGCTGCATCAATTTGTTTTGTTAGTGAATTCATCGTCAACAGTTGCTGGCACACATTCGCACGTACGCAGGGTCAACTTGTATTTTTATTGCAACTTATTGACTACTTACGTGCCCTGGTGCGGTAGCGTGGGTGTAAAACCAGATGTGTGTCTCAACTGTTATGTGAGTATTGGTCGACCGAATATTTGTGTGTGAATGACCGACGGGTCCTAAATTATTATTTCTACTTTTATTTTATACTGTTACCTAATGTTCCCATTATTATTTTTTGTGCCAAACAGGCAATTAAAAACTTGTGAATTACATTAAATACAGTCCACTTTATTTTCTTTATACGACAAGGTTGTTTATTATTATTTTAACCACCTTAAGCATCACCACTCTCTCTAATACTGACAACTCTCTTTGGAAAGCCACTAAAAATATCCTAAAGGAAAAAAGTAAAATACCTCCCCTACGGTACCCCGACAACTCCCTAGCTTCGTCAAATCTTGACAAAGCAAACTTATTTGCATCAGATCTTGAAAATAGATTCTCACCACATCCAAACTTACTCACTAGAAGCCACTACTCTAATATTGAAGCCTCACTTCTAAACACTCTCCCAATGTGCCTCCCTACAAAACATACCTCCCCTTCTGAAGTCCTAAATATCATCAAAAACTTAAAAAATAATAAATCCCCAGGCCACGACCTGATAACCAATACTATTGCTAAATACCTGCCTAAGAAAGCAATCTTACTTCTCACTTATATTTACAATATCATTCTTCGTCTATCCTATATCCCCCCCACCTGGAAACACTCAGTTATCATCCTAATCTACAAGCCAGGAAAACCTCCTGATCAACCCTCCTCATATAGGCGTATTAGTTTACTTCCTACTTTCCAAAAATTTTAGAAAAAATCATACTAAAAATAATTTATCCGATTCTTAACGAGAAACAAATTATTCTAAACTCTCAATTCGGCTTTAGGAGTAAGCACTCCTCCCTACACCAACTACACAGACTAGTTGACACTATTGCCTCATCTCTTGAAGAAAAAAATTTTTGTTCTGGCGTTTTTCTTGATGTTGCTCAGGCGTTTGATCGGGTCTGGTTTGAAGGGCTACTGTTCAAATTATTATTTTTACCCACTCCGTTATTCCTCTTACTCAAATCTTTCCTATCAAACCGTACTTTTTCAGTAAGATGTGAAGACGAAACTTCTGACCCACATCCTATTAAAGCAGGCGTCTCTCAAGGCAGTATTCTTTCCCTGACTCTCTATAATATATATACAGCAGATCTACCTCAATCTATTAACATTACTCTAGCTACGTTCGCCGATGACACAGGCATAATCTCAACCAACTCCGAAATAGCCACCACTACAAACAACCTCCAAGACCACCTAACCCAACTACAAGATTGGTTCAGCTTATGGAAAATTAAAATTAATGAAAATAAATCCACTCACATCACTTTTACCCTCAGGCCTACAACAATTCCTCCAGTTTACATAAATAACCAAACAATTCCCATTATCGATTCCGTTAAATACCTAGGACTCCTTCTCGACAAAATACTAACTTGGACTAATCACATCAAAGCTAAAAGAACTTCACTTAATACCAGGCTTCACAAATTAAGACCACTTCTTAGATCCAAAATCTTTTTAAATAATAAAACACTAATATATAAATAAATATTCAGTCCAGTTATGACTTACGGAATTCAACTGTGAGGTACCACTAAAAACTCAAACCTAATCAAATTCCAAGCGTTCAAATCAATATCTCTGCGTGTCCTCTCTAATGCTCCCTGGTACGTCAGCAACCACACCCTACATCATGATCTCAACATACCATCAATATCCACACTTGCCTCTTATCATTATAACAAATTTCATAAAAATACCTTTAACCATCCAATCCCACTCATATCTAAACTTTCTTCTTGTACAATTCCTGATAACCCCTCTCGTCGCCTCAAACGCAAATGGCCGCGTGATTTATTAAAAAATGCCTAGTGCTACTTATTATAAAGTTACCTCACCCCTAAGTTTAAATTGGAAGTAGTGTCACTGGACACTCCCTTCCCTCAAGATTTTCATGTCCTGTAATATTGTTCATCATATTTACTTATTATATAAATTGTATATAGATTGTAAATTTTCTTAAATAAAAAAAAAAAAAAACTTTAACGACACACTGGGTTATTTATCGGCAAGCGTTAGCTAATAGCTACAAAAACGTTACCAGAAGAATTAGCTTATGTTTTGAAGCTAGCAATGAAGTTAGTGAATTTTGTGAAAAGCAAAGTAAGTAGGTACACTGTACTATAGTATAATATAAATATGTTGCCACTCAGTTGCGCAGCGCTGCGGTTGCTCAGCGCCGAAACTCCACATTGGTATCCGGGGGAGGGAGAAATTGATTTTGATCAACGACCATGGCGTACGCGATAACGGCCGTTCAGAGTTCTGCTAGCAGACAGCCAACGATTACTGATATAGGCGGTTGTTCCTCCTGCTAAGTTAAAGAAAAAAACTTTGAAATTATAAAAATAAAAATCAATGCGCTTGTATGTTACATCGAAGACGGAAGATGGATTTTCGGGTCCACTAGACAGTCAAGGATCCACAGATGCAAGTACAAGACTACAGAGTCCGGTCTATAACAAAATACCCAAGCCCAGAGACTCCATAGCGTAAGTAATTAAAATTTTTTTCGCATTAATTGTAGTCAACATATTTTTTTTACCTGTATTCGTTCATTTTTATTATCTCACTACTGCCAAACCGTTGTTAAGGCTTGAAAACACTTGAATTTAAAATGCTTCCAAAAAAAATAATATTGTGTTGAACTGCTGTAATAAAATATTCTTTGTTTAAATACCTAATCTCGTCAAAATTTGAAAAACTGCCATTTTTGCTCAAAACCATTTTTCGAAATAATCGATTTTAATTTTTAGTGTCACTCTAAAAAAAATGAACGTAGATTCATGAAATTTTCACTGAATATTTATATAAGCATTTTCTATACACCATAACATTTTCAACAAATTTTGATTTGTGTTGTACTGTTTAGAGGCATATGACATTTTTGATTATTATGTTTTTGGTGCTTTTGAAAACATTTAAGAATATTTCATTTTTTTTTTTTAGACTCAGTTAAATTAAAAAAAATATGGAAATGTACTATTAACTGCTTTATTAACTTCAGTTAAGCAAATCATTTATGTTTGTTTTTAATATATAAATATTACTTAAAATATTAATAAGTTAATGTTTATGCAATATAATATATCACCAAAAATAATTTCTTATTTAATTATTTATAAATTATCGAAGTTGGTGTTGCCGCTGTCAGCTCTTATTTAATAAAAATATGTAGTGCCTTCACGACTGAACTATATATGCATTGGTTTAAATCAAGTAAATTAATTAATAAATAAATTTCCAGGTAGGTTTATAATAATTTATTATAAGATAAATGCAATATGGCCTCTTGGCTTTAAATAATAATACAATCATGCTATAGAGCAAATAATAATACAATAACGCTAAATAGCAAATAATAATACAATAACGAATGACTAAGGCCTTAATAATAATTTGGCAGCTCGTCAGCTGATTACCTGTAGAACTGGTGTCCGTTAGCGGCTTCAAACCAAACGCTACCGTCTCAGGATGCACACATTTGAACAATAAAAAATACAATAATATAACACTAAATGTGTGACAATCCCGAGAACGTACGACTAACGGGCCACCAGCTCAGACGAATAAATCACAGTGTACATGCAAATCACAAATGGCAAAAAATTCACGTGCTTCTGTAATTATCTCTTTGTGCGCCCTGAATTGGAGAATAATATTAATACGATGAACTAAACCAAATGACTGAACGATACTTACAGTCTACAGAAGGCAATTCACAGATGATGTACACAAAATGATTGACTAAGATGTATTGACTAGACTACTAGAGTATGAAAATCGAATGCATTTAACAATGAATAATAATAATAATACTGACTAAGATGATGAACAAGTGAACAACCGTCTAGCTCGGAGGTCGTGCGAAAAAAAAAGAAACATAGACATTAATGGACATACAAAACACGATGAAAACTATGTGAACGGGCTTTCAGTGTCACCGCACTAAAACAATGAAACCTGAAAAAACTAAGAACTTTGTGACACTGAAAGCATGACTAGACGAGAAAAAACTGAATGAATATGACTTTTGAAAAACATAAATTGATAACGGTCACGCAGCTGGCCGGTCGCAAACGGAAATATGATAAGATTTTATTTGATTACGGCTGCAGCTGCGGACCGCACCGTGGCATGCACATAAAGAAAAATTATAACAAACAAAATAAAAATGACACAAATAATAATCTTAAACATGAACAGTTGGACTTGATTAAAAGTAACTCGTTATTTATATAATTTATATCAATGAAAATCAGTACGTTGAATACTTGAATATTCAATTTTGAAAACTAAAAATTAACTGAACTTTTTACTTAATTTAAACTTTTGACTCGTTTATGTCCAACCTTGCATACATTAAACACGTCATAATATTATATTAGTTGATGAATAAATCTCAAAAATAAAATTAAGTCAAAACATTTAGGAACTAAATATTGAAAAATAAAGAAGAGTACAGGAAATATTAGAAATAAACAAAAAATTTAAAAACAAAAATTGTTTGTATTTTATAGGAAGTTCTAATGGGCAAATTCATGTCAATGCACACGTACACCGACAATATTATGAATATGTCGTAAGCGGTATGTCGAATATGGTTCAAATTCGAGGATTCTATTCAAAAACAAAAATGCAGATTAATTCTTAATAAAAGAACACCCAGGTTTTGAGAGTCTGCATATGGTGAGTAATTGCAATCACATTTCGCGTAAATTGTAGGTAGTTCACACGTTTTTGAGCTTTGTATCATTTGTATCAAACTACTGCCGCTTACCTGTATTCTTGTAACCGCCAAACCATAGACATAAAATGGTTAAAACAAATGTTTGCATATGTTTTAATTTTTTAATACATTAAACTAATATTTTTTTTAAAAAAATAGGAAAATCGTATTCAAGCTTTTCGCCCTAGTGTTATAAGCCAGGTAGGCTTACAACGAGTTTTTGTAGAAAGTGAAGGTAACTTAACATAAATAACAACTTGCTAATTAATTAAGTACCTATATTTTAAATAAAACACACACATTTTGACAGTCATACAGTTCGCGTCTAACGCTTGTTATAAGACTGTTGTTCTCTCTGCCATTACATTGCACTTATAATATATCTGCGATTATGTTATAATTAAACAGTTTATATTTGCACAACATACTTGTGTTACTTTCCTTATGACTATAATGTTTTGCACAATCATTCGTAAAACCCTGATACATGTTCATTGAATATAAACTATTGATTAAGACTATGTGTTAATAATAATACAACTGCGTAGGTGGTCTTCTACACTAGCAAAAAAAAATGTATACCTGTAAGAGCATCAATAAACAAATATTTTCTAAAAAAAAAATTTTAAATGGCTTTCAAGATGACATACAAAAATACTACCGGAGAAAATTATGCAAATTTAAAATCTGTAATCAAGTTTTCTCTCAAAAAGGAAATATTAATACAGGGTGCGGCAGTCAAAACCGATGGTTTTAACAAGAACTGGTGGACAGGGCTAAAGTGGTAGAGATTTCGGGAATGTTACTATCGCTTTTAAATACCCGGAATTTAGTAATCATGGAGCATTGGTGGAGTGAACAACGTGCGTTCGCGGTAAAAGCGTATTACAAAAATAATGATAGTTTCGTAGGCGCTCAACGTGCGTTTCGCCGACAATTTAGTCTATCTCCTCGCGATCCTGTGCCTTCTCGTGGTACCATCGACCTGTGGGTAAAAAACTTTGAAACCACAACAAGCACGACTCAAAACAGTGGTGGTAATAAAAAAACTAGACGCGCGGACTCCAGAAAATGTAGAGCGGGTGAAATAAGCAGTAGGGAATGTGTGGCTAACCAAGGAAGGCATTTCCGTGTCACAATCTTTACAAAATGAAGTTTTTAAATATATAACATAACATTCCACCTGTGCAGTTTTTATTTGTTTGGCGAAAAATTAATAAAAACTTTTTTTTCTATTTTTTAAATCGTCGGAGTTGACTGCCGCACCTGTACATAAACACTTATCAGAGAAAAGTCATATAAAATATAAATATGACATAAAATTATGTGATTGAACCTTTTTAAAAATTTTTTTTTTATAATTATCGGTAACCGATAGTTTAATACAAGGTTATTCATAAATATTTGTATTTTATCAGTTAAAAATTTTAATTAGGCCATAAGCTAAATTAAAAATAAATAATATTTTAGGTACCATCTTTGCGTAAAACTTGTTAAATGCAACAAAAACTTTATAACATTTAGGTATATTACAATTGCTTACAAGTTACATGTATACCAATACCACGAACCCCATTAAAATAACGCCAAAGAGAGTCCACGTATCTGTATACTCCTCACAGCGATTGCATTCATTCAACTTTGTATGTGAATGTGAGTAATTGTGCACGACCAAACCACGATTTGTCTTCAAATTAAACTTGAACGACTCGCACCTACAAACAATGTTGTAATAAAAATTTCAGAAAATATTAAGTAGTAAATTACATTTGTAATTAATAACTAAATGTATAAATAAAAGGCGCTATTACGGGTATTTTTATTCAGCAATATATTCTGCCCGACCGACATATTGTCAGTTTGTCACGTGTTCATTGTTCACGTCTTCACGATATCCATATGAGTATCCTCTTTGGGTATTAATTGGCTACATACATCGAAAGCATTCGAAGTAGTTTATCGCGAGTGTTATAAATGTATATACTTACGTTTTTTATGCTTTCTTCTCAAATCCAAGGAACAAAAGTGCTATTTCTTTCAACAGCATGATGTATTTACATTTCTTACATATAAAATACTCCCCGATGTGTTGGTCGTTCATTTCTACGACGCATCTCATCGTGGATGGCATAATATATACTTTTCCGATATTTGAAACGACACGATTATTCGTTTTGTGTCGATCTCCTTAAGTTGTAAGCTAAATCGCCCGTTATTGTGTTCGTCCCATCCACGTGATAATACGAGAGGTCGTACGTGTAGTAGTTTCAGAATTTTGTAGTCGGTACTACAATCCCATACTACTATTACGTCATACGTGTCTAGTTGCGTCTTAATAAAATTCCGTGTGAAGTTAGGTTTAGTGGCGTGATCAGTGTCGTAGATTTGTGCTAGGATAGGGTACAGTTGCGAAGGTTTCCCGTTAAAAATGTTGACAAGATGCTGTACCATGCGTCTCCGTTCGTTGTGGCTAACTGTTCTGTTTTCTTTTAACACTAGCGCTCTCTACCCTCTAATTTGGTTATGAAGTCAACCTGGTTGCGTCCGAATATTACTCCAGATCACGAATTAAGATATACAGGATGCCGAACGACAGCCTGTTATCAGTATTTCTGTGAAGTCGAAAGTTTCCAGGTTCCCAAATTAACTTATGGCGCTGAAATGGTTACGGTGGCGAAATTCTTAACTAATTTTGTATAATTACGACTATCAAGTATCATAATAAACATAATCACATAAGTAAAATCATGAGTAAAATATTAATTATTAAGATGGTATACAAGACATATTTCTCAACAAATGAATAATATTATAATAGGTACAATAAAAGTTTTCTTTGATATAATAATAATTCATTTGATAGGTATGTAAAATACTTTTTTATTGGTTTTAATTACTAGTGTCAATATTCAATTTGTATAAATAAAACTTTTTAAAAACTATTTTGATACCAATTTGGCTATTTTTTTTTTAACTTTGTTAGTGCTTTTTGTTTTGTGATTAGTCATGTATGCATATTGTCTCATCCTCATTGCAATATATGATGTAAATATAAATTCAACCATATCTTCTTTGTGGATTGCACACGGAAAAGGAACCAGGTAATTATTATTAAAAAATTCTTCAACTGTGTCGTCAAACACATTTTGACTGTCTTTGTGTTTGACAAAACACTTCTCAATTAGTTNCACGAATTAAGATATACAGGATGCCGAACGACAGCCTGTTATCAGTATTTCTGTGAAGTCGAAAGTTTCCAGGTTCCCAAATTAACTTATGGCGCTGAAATGGTTACGGTGGCGAAATTCTTAACTAATTTTGTATAATTACGACTATCAAGTATCATAATAAACATAATCACATAAGTAAAATCATGAGTAAAATATTAATTATTAAGATGGTATACAAGACATATTTCTCAACAAATGAATAATATTATAATAGGTACAATAAAAGTTTTCTTTGATATAATAATAATTCATTTGATAGGTATGTAAAATACTTTTTTATTGGTTTTAATTACTAGTGTCAATATTCAATTTGTATAAATAAAACTTTTTAAAAACTATTTTGATACCAATTTGGCTATTTTTTTTTTAACTTTGTTAGTGCTTTTTGTTTTGTGATTAGTCATGTATGCATATTGTCTCATCCTCATTGCAATATATGATGTAAATATAAATTCAACCATATCTTCTTTGTGGATTGCACACGGAAAAGGAACCAGGTAATTATTATCATAGTTTATATCTTTATTCACATATATTCATAATATTCATAATGCATTTTATAATGTAATAATTACAAATCCAACATTAATACAATTTCATAAAAGTGGCGGGAAATTAACATGATGATAATTTTTATGATAAAGATACGTAAAACTATAATTCTTGATAGATGGTAGCACTGTTTTAGTTCATTAAACGCCACTGTGGCTAAAAAGCGCTGTAAGTTATTCTGGATTTTTGGAAACTTCCGTCTTCACTTGATAAGCCCTCGTTCGGCATCCTGTATATCTTAATTCGTGCTCCAGATATTAAAATTAGGTCGTCTTTGCCCAAATTTGTAAATTCGAAATCTACCATTGCGAATTTAGGTATTTCACTGGAATTGTATTATTAAGTAAAAATATTGTTGGTGTATATCGACGGGAAAAAAAATGAAGAAGAAGAAATACATTTTGAAGTGATGTAGAATTATTTTCTAATTTTGTAACGTTCGTATATCAAAATGTCTGCTGGTTCCGTTGCTAACTCAATGTTACCTTTTAAATATAAACATAGTGATTCTGGTAAAGGTCGATTCATTTTTGACATGGCATGTGAAAAGTAAGTTATAGTTCACGTTATTTTCGACATTTCCTACTAATTAACGCAGATATTTAATTTCAACTATTATTCTGGTACTTTCTTAATGTATTGTCTTAGCTTAATCCTTGCTGGATGCAACATTTATATTACAATTGCTTACATGTATACCAATACCACGAACCTCATTAACATAACGCCAAAGAGAGCCCACGTATGCGTATACTCTTCTCACAGCGATTGCTGCATTCATTCAACTTCGTATGTGCATGTGAATAATTGTCAAAATGTTTTTGGAAATATTATTTATTTTTTATTTAGTCATTCATACTTCAATACAATGTATGCCATATTACTATTATTATTAGACCTTGACTTGATGTTCTTATATTGCATTCTTTATTTATTTTTTTTGTAATTGGAGTTTTGTTACTATCTAGAGTTTATGTTTCTTCTACCTAGTACCTTTTGTCTTTTGGTTTTATTAATTAACTTTATTTTTTTTATTACATTCTTGGTATTGTATTTCAAACCATTGTGCGTAAGTTTTTAGACATAGCTACTGGAATACTAGTTGAATTGCGTACGATTATGAAGAAACGTTCTACGATTAATTCTTCAATAGAAGTCATTAAAACATCCATAAATTCAATTCAGCCACATAGTATACACGGCAAGTTGCTGTATGCCTGTGTAACACCCTAAATGAGATATTTCACAATTATACTACTTTAAATTATGTACGAAAACTACATAGTTTAAAGATAAAATACGTGTTCCTATTTAGTACAGTTTCTGGTATCATCAAACACGTTTCCATCAGTGCAAAGAATTATCAAGATGCATAATATGATGAGCTTTGTCCCTCAATATTAAAACAAGGGTCTCAACAAGGATTTTTTACAATCGCGTAAACGTGCCATAATTTGTTCACCAACGGCTAACCCTACCTCAGCTGTAGAACTGTGGAAATTGTATTCATACGTTCGTTATGCTCTTGAGACCCTGGGACAGCCAGTTCAGTCTTGGGATGCATAGTCGGTGACTCTAATTTCTGAACAGCTAGAAGATTCATGTTGTATTTTATGAACCTGCAGCTGTTTCGTTTGGGTTATCATTGAATGATATCTTTCTAAGTGAATCCAAAGATTTGGTTCTGTGACTGTTCTTCGTTGAGGTGTAGCACGTTACTGCACGCCGACGAGACGCTGTTGAGCATACCTTTATTCCCAAAAATTGTACGTATATTATCCCGCACACACTGGAGTCACCACTTACTAACGTCAATACATCTTTTACATCATCCACGGGCCAACTACGGTCGTCACAAATGTAAGCTCGGCGCATTTAAGACGACTGATCTGATCTAACTATCAAAGTACGCTCCGTCAAGTCTCTTAAACCTCTCCAACTACATGCTATCACCAATAGCCATTTAGTAATCTTTAAAGTGTTGATATGTTTTACTGTGATGGCTGTGATCGGCGGGCATTACGATGTCAAAGCAATCGAACAATACAACTTCTCAACAACACCGCCAATGTAACCTCCCCCCTCCAATGTTATGAAAATTATATTCAATGCACCATATTTTTACATAATATGTAAAGTATCTCATATAATCCAATATCGGTACACAGTGTCCACTTTTTCTCTCTCATATCCCTTTCTTCCAACATGACAACCACATTTCTAATATATATATATATCTATTTTATTAAAAATTGACGTACCCGGTAACCCAGTGAAGGAGCCGCGGCTCAAGAAACGTTCAAATATGTTATATGATTATAGATTAAAAAAAGAGCAACTAAAATATATTTCACCGACTATGCTGAAATAAATAAAAGAAAAGAAAACATTATTAATGTCAACGCAAATATGGATTATCCTAACCAATCTCTTTAATCCCTCCAGCGATCTATAGTAAATATATCCATGAAAAATTAAAATATATCCTAATAAAACAATTTTTATCTCCACTCTACTGTGACCTTATATTATATAAATACCTTTTGTGGTGCTTTGTAAAATTGTAATATTATGACCACAATATGGCCGACTTACTATTTTATTATTTTGTAATGTTTTAACATAAAAAAAAACTATTATTTTATTATTATGGACATTATATACTTTCATATGTTGTAATTGTATGCATAAAAAGTACCTTCCTAATAATACTTATATTTTTTATAGTTGTTAGTAAGTTTTCCACATATAGTTATATACTTATATAGTTATATGTTTATACTTTGACACTACATATTGATCAACCATTTTAATATCATTGGTTAGTAGTCTGTACTCTGTATTAAGTGTGTACTTTGTATGTCTACTGCTTAAAGCCTTAAACCACGAATACGACAGAATACTAAGTATATTCATGCCTTCATTGGCCATGCGGTAAGGTTAGGACTAAGAGTCAACTCCACCAATGTAAAATATGGTAGGGTATTGTAACTACCCAAGTTGAAAAGTCAATAAACTACTGTAAAAATACAAATTAAATGTGGACATTTCCAGAGATTCAGACGGATCACCTTGTTTCCACTGTCTTGGCAAATCGTCATAATATTTAATATTATGATGCAGTACATTTTCTCCATTGGGTAATATAATAGTGATTATTTAGTCAACTGTGTGAAGATGTTACGCTATGTAACATGATTTTAAAATCAAAAAACCTATTCTTCGAAAGTGAAAAATCTTTGCATTCTCCCAGGGATAGCTGGTAGTATAATTAAAAGTAAAGTAGATATCTACAAAAATAAACTAGTTGAATTAATGAAAAAAACATGGGAGGGGAACACGGGTATATCAATCGTATAAAGAAAAAAGAATAAAATACAATTGTATTGATTGTCCCTGTCCGGTGGGTACAAGCTGGTGCAAAGTATCCCTAGTGCGTCCCGAGAAAAAAAAAGGTCATATTTTGATGTAGCCAAAGTGCGACTCAGTTCATCTAGAGTTGCCCGGGCCGGTAGCAGAGGTATCAGGTCAGATTTGAGATTTACTAAGATTATAGCTATATTATTATGAACACAAAAAATGTACGATATACTTAAGAAGACACACATCAATTGCACCAGAAATCGCAGGTAAAAACAAAAATAATTATAAATTGAAAAAGGTTATAAGTACTTACATCAATTGCACTGGACAATATTGTGCAAAAAAAAGGTTGTACATCCATTGCTCCAGATGATGTTGAAGAAGATAATTTGAAAAAAAAAAATAAAACTAATGTAAATGAGAGCCGGACTGAAACATGAGAGCTGGACCGACCTGAGAGCTAGACTGAAACATGAGATAAAACGAGTTAAAATATAGCAAAATATATATTTTAGACTGACTGATGTAGATTATAAATCAAGGATAGTATACTGGATACTTTATAATGTACATTCAATGAGCAACATTCAACTTTTCTTATGTTGTTTAAAGTATGCTCTGTCATGTGGTTCATTTATACTTAAATAAAAATAAAAAAGACAACACCTAACAAGATATGTGATAAACGTATGTACTATATTTTATAATTGATGTATTTGTATATATTAGTGTATACCTGTAGTAATAATCTCTTCTTTTTAACAAAATATATCTGAAAAGGCAGTGTTATTGCCTTCATTACCTTTCATTTTACATAGATATAATATGTATTTGCATATATACATATTGCTTTTTTTAATTCAATAAATTGCATAATATTACTTTGAGTTTTTGGTTTGGTACTCGGTAGGCACAAGGTTATCCTATAAAATAGTTACTCGGTCTCAGCTTAGGTTGCTCATGTTGTAGTTAGATATGTAGTTGTAGAATAGAATTGAAGTTAAACGTTTAAAAGTATGTTTTCTAAGCAAATACCTGTAACATCATTCACAGGAACAAAATTAAAAAATCTTCTCTCATTTTCTTTGCTATGAAGAAAAGTCAAAATAACAAGCACAGAGAAAAAATTAATCGATTTCCGAAATGTCGGCAGGTTCATCTGCTAATACAGTGAAACATTTAGCAGCTTTAACTTGAGAAATTATTTGTTTTGTTTCTTAATAATTCTTAACACAGAATAAATACATTTATATTATTAATAGACAATAAAAACAATGGATAGGACTAGGAGTGATAGGACAATAACGTTCTCCTTATTTTTTTAAGCTAGGAAATACACTATCCCACATAAACAATTTATAGGTACCGTTATTTTTAATACAAATATTAAAATATCTATATTAATGGTCAACACTTACAATGATACATATTTTGTATTGAAAAATGTAAAATGACAGTGACATGTTTGTATCTATCTTTTTATGCTTAGATTACCTGTTTTAAACATAAAATCAATTTTTAATATTACGAAAACTTTGTTTTTCTTCGAAACTTGATTATTTTAATTTTCTCCAATTTTTCATATTTCTTAAGGCTCTGGTAAAAACTGTTTTTCCAGAATCGTTCTGGTATTTTGGTATTTTTATGTATGTATAAGTAGTCCATGTTTTCGTATTTTCAATACAAAGTTTTGGTGAAACATCTATCAACATCTATCACAATAAACATGAATAAGTAACAAATAAGTCATAACATTTTTTTATAAATTTATTTTCCTTTAGATCAAAAAATAAACAAGTAGATAATATTGTTATCAAAAGTCAAGACAATTATATCTCATCAACAAATGGTTGTGTACTAAAAAAAATGTGCATAAAAAAATGTACTTCAACTATAAGTTGACTAAATTATATTATTATTTAAATTCTCATGTAGGTAGTGAGAGATAATATAATACAAATATAATGGTGTTAAAAAAAATTGACCGATAGCATTATTTTAATTTTCATATCTAGAATTTAAATTAATTATACATGATAAATTTACAATATAATGTTATATTGTATTTATTTTACTCATTTTTGAATACAAATTAAATTAATTAACTTTTATTTTTCTTCCATAATATATTTTTAATACAAACTATTAACAAATAACAAGCAGCCAGATAAAAATTCAAGAGATAAACTGATACACTGATATGTAAACAATGAATAGCTCCAGAGATGATTGAATAGTAAAAAATAATATCTATCCAACGGTGGTTTTACAGTATAATTATTAAGTGTCATTATTATATTATACATAATATAAAAAGTGATTAAACAACAATAATAATACTTATAATTTACTATACATTATTTATACAAAAAAGTCAAATACTTTTTAGTTTCCAAGTTACACAAATGAATACTAACTAATTCACATATTTTGTTTAGTTTTAGACAACAATAATAAAGTTAATTTTATGTAACTCATAAAGACAGTATTACTTGATTGAAACAGCTTTAAAAATTTTAAAAAAAATAGTAAAACATAAATATTTAAAATTCAAAGCATACAAATACATGTTATTCATAAAAATATATCATTTTACAAATAATACACAAATGGATTCCTTCTTATACAACATATTATAATTGTAGTAGATAATAAAATTAAGACATTAAGCAACCAATAAATAACACTTTGGACTCACATATAATAATATTAATAATAATAAATATTTAAGTCAATAAAAGAAGAAAGGAACTAAAATATGCAAATACACAACCTAAAAAAACATGAGATTTATATTGCATCAATAAATATGTAAAAAAAAAATATGAACATAATGCTATATATTATGACTATTCGATTGTCATTTAATTTATAATTGGGTATTATTATTTATTAATATTATAATTTTTTTAATACCGTTCATGATGTAACCAAGAGTAGTAGTTTCGATATCATTACACAAATGCCATTTGTTTCTTAGGTGCTCTTGTTAACCTTTTTTGTAAATGTCGTTCAAAGAATTTTTTTATTTCTGACACAATGAAAACACTTGATGTTAATCCCAATAGAAGTAAAATATCTTAAAGTTTTGAAAAAATAATTATTTTTTTTTAATTCAACAATTATAATGTTAAATAGATAGTTGTTTATACCATATAGAGTAAGTGCTTCTGTTTGAAATACATTCTGTAATGGTGGAAAGTATATCACTAACATTTGTCCAACAATAGAAAGTGTAACAGCAACTAGAAACATCTTGTTAGAAAACAATCCAATAGTAAATACTGACTTTGTCTGTAAACATAATGTATGCAATTGAATGACAATATAAATAACAGGGTTATTTTTAAACTCTATTATTATTTAAAAAAATTTAAATCATCATACCTGTGAACGGCAGCTAAGAGCATTAAACATATCAAAAAAAACAAAACACGTGAATGTCATTGTAGTGTCTCTCTTAGACACATCATTGTCACTTAACTGAAATCATATTGCAAAATAATTAAAATTAACTACAAAGGAACTAATAATTAAGTATTGAAGCATTATATGTAAAATATTGGTTTGCAATATTTATGAACGGTATTTTAATTTAATTCAATTTTTTACTTATCAAATATTTAAAAAAAGTACTTTTGGTATTATTAGAATTATTTAGTTAATAGGAAATTAAATTCCAGTCTAAAAATAAAAACTCACTTCTCGTTTAAACACCCAAAGAGTTCCAACAATAATAATTGATGCCGAAAAAAGAACATTTAACACAAGTGTTTTTGTTATCATAGGTGTTTTCACATTTCGAGGACCTTGTTTTACAACATCCTTATCAACTGGTTCAACTGCAAGACTGAAAAAATGTTAACAGTACAATATAACAAGAGAGAAAATAACAAATTCTAAATAACTAAATTAATGGAATAGCTACCTTTGGGCAGGCGGTCCATCCATAATTATATTAATCCATAGTATTTGCATGGCATTTAATGGATTTGGTATTCTAAAAATGGTTGCTAATGCAATCAAAGATAATGCGGCAATACTAGTACTAAGTTGAAATTTCACAAAGTTTCGAATGTTGAAAAATATTCCTTTCCCTTCTTCGATAGCTGCCACAATTGTTTGGAAATCATCATCAACTAGTATCATGTCTGATGCTTCTTTACATACGTCTGTTCCATTTTTACCCATAGCTATTCCAATGTCAGCTTTTTTCAATGCAACACTATCATTCACTCCATCACCTGTCATTCCAACAACATTACCATTTGATTGCAATGCCTAAAATTATATACAAAATTAAAAACAAATTAATTAGGTTTAATTTTATTTTCCCACTATAACAATGAAGTTAATTTTAAATTTATAATATTTTGCTAATACTATTGAAACATTGGTTACTTTTTTTTATTAAAATAACTAAAATATATTGTTAATATAGTGAGAAGTAAAAATATATTAATTTGTTTACATAAAAATAATATAATATATACAATTGCTTCATTTTGGAAATTTTAATTCAATAAATAACTCATTGCCAAAACCACACATAGTTATCAACTATCATTATACATTTATATCATAAATTTATTACTATTATTAACTTATAAGAACCCAATACTGACATACTGCTAAACAATATGAACAGTTTCTTGCAATAAATAGCTTAAAATTAGTTTCAAAATGTTGAACATTTTATTATGTATGGACAATGGTGGTTCTAATGTAAGGACAGTGTGGGAAACTGTCATACCAAAATGTTTGATGTCCCTTATTGTAAAATTAAATAATGTACTTACTGCTAATATTATTAAGTACTTGCGGCATAAATATTTAACTAAGAAAATACGAATAGGGGAGATTCTATTCTCATTTAAGACCTAATTATAAATGTACTGTTACCTGCACAAAAATTTAGTCCTAGCACCGCACTTGTGTATGGAAAATGATAATTTGAGTAAAAGTAGGATAGTTCCAAATTTCAACGATAAATATCTTTTAAATTACAAAAAATCTTGAAGAGAAGTAGACATTTTATGTTTCATTATCCAATTATAACCAAATTTGAACTTCAACCACTTAAAAAGAAAATGAGATCATATATTTTTGAATTTCTGTATGAATAACTTATGAGAAACTTAATGTTCAAAAAAAAAATAAAATATTTTGAAAATCATGTTATGTTTAGAAAATGCTAATACAAATATTTGGTGAACATTTCAAGTAACTATGATTATTCATTTTTAAACAACATTTATTAATATTATTTTTTAGTTTTTCAGGAATATTTTGAAATGATTAATAATAAAATTAAAGGGTGAAGTGTAATGGTAAAAAGTTAAAACTATTAGGTACCTTGATTATTGTTAATTTGTGGCGAGGTGTAACACGGTAAAAAACAGATACATTGTTTACCATTGCTTTTAGTTGATGATCAGACATATTATCTATTTGTTGACCAGACATGGTCTGTCCATGAATCATGTCTAAGCCAATCATACTTCCTACAGTAAAATTGTAAAATTTATTTTTTTTATATAATATAGCATAATTATTAATTATTTATTAAATGTATTAATATTATTGTATGTTTTATACCAATAGCAACTGCAGTTTCTTGAGCATCTCCAGTGACTAATTTTACTTTAACTCCACAATTATACAACTGTTCTATGGATTCTCTAACAAATGGTTTTGGAGGATCACAAATTCCAACTAATCCCAAATAGACCAAATCTTGTAAAGAATCTCCTTTGGCTAATGCAATAACTATAGAAATATGTTTAAGTTAAATAGAAATAAAATCATCAGGTAGATATACAACCATAACATAGCATAAAAACTAACCTCGAAGGCCTTTTCTACCAATTTCATATGCTTCAGTAAATATGTCTTGTTCTTTCTTACTACTCAATAATAGTCTTTCATTCCCATTAGAATATTTTGTACATTGTTTCAAGACTTTTTCTAATGCACCTTTGACAAAATAAATTTCTTCTTTAACCTATAAATTGTAATTTTAATAAAATAATAATAATAATAATAATACTAATAATAATGAAGGTATGTCATATTCTAAAATCTTACATCATCGTATTTATTAACACATTTCACAGCCATAAGTTTTTGTTCAGAACTAAATGGATATTCTTGGAGTTTTAAGTATTTTTCACTAATACCATACATTCTATTCTATAATCAAAATGAAAAATTATAACAAGAGAAATAAGATAAATAAATAATAAAAGATTTAACTTCTTAAACACCTTCATAGCTACTGCTAAAAGAGCCCCTTCAGTAGGCTGTCCCTGTAATGTATCTCCATTGATAGTTGCATTGTTACAAATAACTCCAACCTGCATAAGAAAATATATACAATTTAAGCAAAAAACAACCTGTGAACATGTTAAGGATCTAAATTATCAAAATTATACAATACATACTTCTAATAAATTATATATAGCTTGTTTAGCTTGGTCTGAAGAGAAAGATTTAAGTAAATGAACTTCACCTTGATCATTGTAACCTGTTCCAGAAACCTAGATCATTGAACGAATATTTTATATTATGAATTGAAATTTCATAATATATTTTTTATACTAACATAATGATAATGATAATTCTAAATTCATTATGTTTAAATAAAGTAAAATCCCATTAATGAGAATTATTATATAAAAATTCACAATGCTTGCTATGTCCATTAAAAACGGGTTTACCATATTTATTTATTTATCATATATAACAGGTTATTTAAGTATAATAAGTTTTTGTTAGTAGATTAAATTCAAAAAATAATTATTTTATAACTTACATCAGCATAATATCCATCTGAAGTAATAATTGTAGTTACAGTCATTTCATTATTGGTTATAGTCCCAGTTTTATCAGAACATATTATATTAACGCATCCTAATAAAATAAAATAAATACATATGACAATAACAAATTTATAATTATAAATTAAAGTTAAGAAATTACCTAAGGTTTCAACAGTTGGCAATTTTTTTACAATAGCTTTTCTATTAGCCATACGCATTACGCCAAGTGCCAAAGTCACAGTTACAACTATAGGTAAGCCTTCTGGTATTGCAGCTACAGCCAAACTAAAACAATAATATTTATATATATTTTTAAACATGTATTAAAGCCATACAACTTAACTTGGCTTATTTTTTACCTGACGCCAATAGTAAACATATCTAAAATAGGTCGGCCCTGAATCCATCCAAGCATCATTATCAAACCAATAATGAAGAAAGAATACACAGATAGCTGAGTACCCAGAATATCCATACTATTCTGCAAAGGGGTCTTTGGCGCTTCTTCACTTTGCATTAATTTGAAGAGTTCACCAAATTCTGATTTTTCTCCTGTATTTACCACAACTCCTTTGCCATTTCCACATCGTACTAAGGTACCCATAAATGCTATGTTTTTCATTGATGTATGACTCACAGGATTCAAAACTAACTCTGTAGTTTTCATACATGGTTCCGTTTCACCAGTAAAACTACTTTCATCTATAGCTAAGTCAATGGCCTATGGAGTAAAAATCCAATAATGATTTTATTATACACAAAAATAACTATTATGCAAAGATCTAAATTTATTATTTATCATTGACTTATTATTTTTATACTATACTTGAGTAAACTATACTATAGTATTACCTCAAACAGTCTAATATCAGCAGGGACTCTATCACCAGTGCTCAAATAAACAATATCACCAGGTACTAACGATCTTGCAAGCATAGATTCTAATTGTTCTTCTCGGAGGCTAAAACAGAACAAAAAAGTTAAGTTAGTAAACTAATTTCAAGTAAAGTTTGTTAGAAACATATAATGATAATCTTTTACTATTCTCAATGGCAAAGCGTATACAAATCAAATTGGTAGATAATTATTTTTTTTAAATGCTCTCTACCTTCATAAAGTTAACATTATTAGCAGCAATAAATCTCAGTACTACTAAATTACAAACAAAAATCAAATATTTTTTGTCAACAATTCCACTATACAAATATTAAACAAAAATAGCAAAATAACAAGTATAATAATTGATCAGAAAAAAACAACAAATTAAATTTTAAAAATGTATAGATAAGTGTGTGACCTGTCTCATATGAATGTTACTGTCTGAAAACACGCCATATTGATATAAACTACATAAAAGAATTAGATGTTAGGGCTGATGTCACAAAATCTGTTTGTATTTAATTTTTAATGATTGTAAAAGACAGTGAATATTCAATGAGTTATGATAAAAAAAAATTTAGCTTTTTCAATAAAATTAGGAATTTTTATTAAAATAATGTATACCAAGTTAGTAATTTTAAAATTATATATTATACTATCTCATTGTCTTTAATGATGATCCTCTACTGAATAAAATGAAATGATATATATTTTTATAAAATATGATGACAAAAAATGACTTTAAAGATTTTTATTTGAATACTAACCAGCGACATGTAGGTGGTACAAGTTTTGTTAACGCTTCTAATGACTTTTCAGACCTATATTCTTGTATAAAAGCCACAGTAACAACAATGATAATAGCCTGTAACAAATAGTATAGGAATTTTAATAATTTCAATTAAAAAGTAAAAATATTATAGTGAAACATGTACATAACGGACAGTTACAGGACCATCAAAAGTAGCCACTATAGACAGACTTTAGTATTATTTTAGTCAAACTCACACATTTATTTGTTAATTGAAAGTATTGTACATTGTAAATAAATATTAAAACATATTAAATTATAGAACATACGCATTAAATGATGATATTATAGTACTGAGTATGTGATTGGTGTTAATTAATTCATGTCTCAAAGTTGCATGTGTGTTGTCGCGACCAGTGACATTGTTGTGTATTATGTAAATTTAGGTATGCAATTCAATTTGAGTTTGAACTAGTTTGACTTTGAGTTTGTCTGTTATGAAGGTATTAGGGAGAAATATTACTGTAAGTGTCAGTAATAGAAAGAGCCTATTATAGACAGGTCAAAATACATTGGAATACCCATCTTATTGCTGGGACATTCTTTTGTTCATTGAGAGATGTGTCTGTTATATACAGGTGTCTGTTAAGTCAGGTATCACTGTATTGCCAAAATTATAAAAGTAACCTAATTAAAATTAACTTTGTTCTTAATTCATTATTTTGCGAAGAATATAAAACCATTCTTACATTTACTATTTATAATGAGTAATTGTTTAATTAATACGTACTGTAGTAATACTGATGGCATCATCAAATTGTTTCATACATACACTCACAACAGCTGATGCTAGCAAAAGGAGTATCAATGGATTTCTGAACTGAAAATAATAAGAATACCATTAATATTTTACTTCATATATAGTGTTTTTATACAAATATACATTATAATACATACCCTATGAAGGTAAAGTTACATAGTTTTTTTTTTTTTTTTTTTATTTTAAGTAATTTACAATCCATACAACATTATGTACAATGAGCAAATTTGATAGTTAGTAAGTGACAGGAGAATTTAACATTTGTGGGCGGACGCTCAACAGCACCACCCGGCTGGGTTAATTTTAAGTATTGTGGGTTTTTTTTTTAAAAGTTACATAGTTAAACTATTATAAGCTAACATAAACAGTTATACAAGGTTATCAGTTTATGCAATTAAAATTTAAAAAAAAAAGCACAAATTAAATTTTAGTATTATATAGGAAAATCATACATTTAAAATAATTTATGAATAACATATCTATTCATTACTGTGCATTTTAAATTGCCAGTAGGTAGGTTAGGTATTTTGTAACTTTATTTGCATTAAAAATAAATTCTAAAACAATGGATGGCTATGGAAATAAGTAGTTGTTATTAGATTTCCACGAAAATTAAAATATGCAAATAGGTACAGCATTGTTAAATATTCAAATAATATAGGTACTTTTTTATTGTACAATTGTATTTGAAATATTTTATAATTTTCCAGTAAATCAAATTTTTTTTATTGACTGTAACTGTTTGAAAAACAAAGTATAAATAATTTATATATATTCTTGTTCAACATATTCATGCTTATTAGAAACATATTTGATCAAGTTGTATGGTTTCAGAAATAAGTATTGATACAGATATATTCTGTTTATTTTAGTTTTTTGTTTAAATAAGTTATTACTTACATCAATATTTAAAAAAAAAATTATATTTTAATCTGCATTAAGATTTAGTTCTGTTAACAAGTATTTTTTTATTAGAAAACTATTGAATATTAAGCCCCAACATTTTACCTTAGATTCATAATTGTATATCCACATACCTTCACATACCTATTAATATATTAATGCCTTAAAAAAAATGTATTTACATATTTGTTAAAATAATACATTAAATCAATAGACACATACATGTACAATCTGGATCTTAATCATTAATAACACAATTTATGTTTTACCTGTTCAATATATTTTTTCCATAATGGATCTCCTTGATGAACTGAAAATTCATTGTATCCAGTTATCTGTCTTCTAAATTCACATTCTTTCCAAGATAATCCACTCCTAAAACCAACTCTTAATCTCGACACTATATCTTCGGCACTAACTGCACTTGCTTCTTTTGTAGTAAGCCACATTTTTTCGTGTTCTGCTATCATCTAAATTAAAATAATTGCGTTTTATTTAGTATTTAGTTACTGGTTTTGTTATAAATGAATGTCAAGACACATACAAAATTTGAACCTGATGGACTATTATGTGATTCATGATTTAAAAGTGAATGTAAAGATTCATTGCTAAATTTATTAACAATTTTGTACTTCGAGTTCATTATACCAGAATTAAATATTGTTGAACGCAAATCACCACTTACAAATGTGAGTAAAACAACATATTAGAATTTAAAAAAAAAATGATAAGGAATAATTAAACGAAATCATGTTTGAAGAGGTGAATTCAACACATTAAAAGACACATTTTAAATATAATTAGCTATACACTTTAACGAATTTCACGGTTTACTTTATATACAAATATACTATTTTTGATTTGCCTACATAGATTATAAAATACCTTATCATCATTATCAACGTGTTAACATAATATTTGTCCGGTATCATTAAAATAACAGAACTACCAACTTTGTTCAGCTGAACAGATCATTTTTTTGTAATACATTTTAAAAAAATTTCGCAAGTATACTGCATACAACACTTCGAGTTCCGACGATCGGCCGTAAAAACTACAACAGCATATTATACCTAGGTAGGGACCTATAAATATGTCGTTAATCGTAATAAAAGAATTGTAATTATTAGGTAATATACTTTATTTGATACACCCATGATATGACAGTACAAAACACACGTCACACACAGTATAATAGACACTAAATATTAAAATTTATTATATAATAGCACAGATTAAATAAAAAATTATGCCTATTATAATTCATAAACATTATACATTATACTACCTATATTATATACTATGTAGTATGTAGTCTATATACATAGGTAACGTACAATCTGTGCTAATAGCCAATAGGGAGTAAAATAAATAATAATATTACGTATTCACGTGGGAAATAAATACGTATTATACATACCATCTATCCGTCTAGGTGGTAATAGGCACCTATATAACTGGTAGGGCAGTAGGTATATTTTTTTTATGCGGTTTATGCTAAGACCAACAATAATATTAATTATTATTACCTATAGTCCACGCAACTATACTACTTAAACAGGCCCGGTTAACCTCCCACCCGGCAGAAGAGGTTTGAGAATGTTTATTGCTTGTATTATAGTATTATACAGTTGATTTTGTAATCAATAATAATTAATAATAATATACCTACTGCATTAGTGCAATACCGGCGTACCACCAATTTTTTTGTATTGCCTACAGTACCTAGGTTTGTATTTTAAAATCAATTATTATTTTATTGTAATCACGAAGCAGTTGTATAGCTGGTATTACTCCCAGACTTGAGTCCTGTATCAGATTTCGTAGGTACCCTACCGGCTACCGCGTACCTAGGTTATACTAAATATTATTACATTTACCTACGACTTTCAGAATTTTCATTGTATGTACTTATTACTGTACATTTTTATCAAACATTAACATTGTAATTCACATTTATATTACCTACTGGCTACTTCCATTATTGGCTATTGTATATTTTATATTGCAGAGATTAATATTATACATAAATATTATGTACCTAATAAATACAAAATTAATTACACGTTAAAAACTTAGAAAGAGTGGTTATTTTATTTTATTCCGTAAAATATTATGCTAAAATAGTAAAATATATCCACGACCTATATCTATATCAGATTCGGAACTAGTGGGAATGGGAGGGGGTGAAGACGGGGATTGATTCCCTGGCGTCCTATTTCCGTGGGTGTAATTTTTTATGGGCCAATGGTTAGTCTTTGGTTTTAGAAGTTAGAACACTATTTCTACTTCACATAAATTGTTTATGATGTGGTGATGGTCACATTTGAAGGAAATACAAGTAAAAATATAAAATCACATGAGTATAGGTACATCATTAAATAATAATTGTCATTATTTTATTAATTACCTACTATGTGGCGTAGCGAAATTAGTACAAATTACCACAATGATAAATCATAAATGTATATTTTGTCTTTTACTTTGTATGGCGTGTATCGTTTGTATTTGTACCCTATGATAAATCATAATAAATAAATTGTGGTTGTGCCACATTCGTCTTTGGTTATTCAGGCAAGTAGGCAACAGTCAAAGTTTCAAAAACATTAATAGATTATGCATAGATTCACATCATACTCAAATATCACTACAATTTTTAAGGTACTAAAGGGAAACTATAGGCATGTATTGATGCTGCGTTTCCGTTGAAAACTCTGATTCCCAATAACTTATATGCAGTATCAATCAACGTATAAATATATATTATACACACAGATAATTAGGTATTCAACTATATTTTTTTATATTTAAGTATACCTACTTATGTTTAAAAGAGGTTTCATAAAAAATAAAAAAAACACAGCTTTTTAATAAATAATTGGTAATAATTATATTATTTTTTTATGTCGTAACCAAAATATTTGAATAAATACATTTAATTATGCTAATCATGCTTATTATTAGAAGACAATTGTATGGAAGGTATTTCAGTCTTTCGGGCCTACGATTGGACTTAATTTTAGCATTTTTCTCAGGCGTAAAAAGTCCTAATTCTACCTCTGATTTATATTTTATATCATATACCTACTATATACATTACTACAATCTGTCAAAATTTATATAGGTAGATAGGGACCAAGGTAGAGTATAGCCTATAAACACATCCAACCGACTAATGGGGTCAAAAGGCGCGACTTTATAGATCACTGAAGCATATGAACCATTTTTTAAGCCGAGCTCACAGTTTTGTCCATAATTTCATAATTGAATTATCAGATTTTCAAAAAATCAATGGCCGACCAGACAAATAATATTTAGAAATATACATGAGCGCACTGTCTTAAATAAAATAAAAACGATGTTGATTTGTGCTTGAGTCCTGGATCACCCAAGCATACTCAATCCCTATCACGCCTCTCTACCCATATATTTTATACAAAATTAGCCTCATTAAAAAGTTGTGCTTACGTCATAACTCCCATAGTTCCTATAATTTAGCTAAAACTTATTAACATATAATTCTTCTTGTAAATGGTTCCTAATAGGTAAGAAGTAATAATCTAAAATGACTATACCTACTTGTATAACATGATATATTATAGTGAATAAAGTAATTTTTAGTTTTCTAATGGTGCACACCATGATTTTTATTGTAGTAATGATATTTTAAAATATATATATATTATATAGTAAAATCTTATCATAATTGTTGAGGTTCAAGCGACTAAATTATTTTAAACGCTGTAACAATAATAAATTGTTGTTCGTGAGCGATAAGAATGTAAAAACCGATGATATATCATTAATTTGTACATCTGAAATACTGCAATTTAAATCAATTTAAAATTATGACCTCTATCCAATAAAGTAATTATTTTTGTCGCTTATGTATAAAAGCTTATTAATATTAGATCTAGGTATTACACTATCCGAATTTCGTAAAATTATTATTATTTTGATGTTGGTTATAATTTATAAAGTATTTTGGAACTATAGATAGTTTATTAGTTGTTATACTTATTAATTATTACCAGGGTAAATTTAATGCATTTGCATGTTTTTTTGCTACACTTTATTAAAAAATGGAGTCGGCCAAAATTTGTTTTGACGTATTTGTAGTTCAAATACCAAATTTTATTTTGCATATTTTTGTATATTTCATGGGTTAGGGCATATAAATGCATGTTTTAATAATTTTTTTGTTTAAATGCTTTTTTTTCGTAATATTTACATTTTTTCGGTCAATCTTATCTTATAAACTATAATTTTTATAGTTTTATCGAAATTATTCTATTTTTACAAATAGTACTCAACAAAAACAAAGGGTTTCAAATTATGCGTAATATTTCAAAATTATTAACTGGCGAAAAAAATGACGTAGATTTAGATTTACCAGAAGATTTAACCAGTAGCGACATGACGTATTTCAAGTTTGCCCCAATAACTTCGTCAGAAGTAGAACGTTCCTTTTCTTTATATAAAACTTTGTTGGCACCGAACAGGAGGTCTTTCAAGTTCGAAAACCTGAAGAAATCATTGGCTGTTCAATGCAATAACTACTTTAAAGGTAAAATATATAATTTTAATTATATTTAATTAATATTACTTGTATAATTTATATTTCTTCTATAGATCTTGTATGCAACGAAGACCAAGACTAGTTAAGATCAATAGCTCATAAACTTATACCAAGAAGTAAAAATACTAATATTCAAACTAAAATCAATAAAAAAATTATACTAATGAAAAAAATAAAAATAAAAGTTTAATTTTTGTAGTTTTTTTTTGCATATTTTAAGAATTTTTAGAGCATATTTTGTCAGATTTTAGTGCATATATGCATGCATATTTAATAGTTTTTAAGTGCATTAAATTCACAGCCCTGGTTATTACAATGTTTCGCCTTTTAACTCTCATATACATTTGATTGTTTACTCAAGAAAATAAGACATGTTTGAAATTAGGTAGGTACTTATTTTCTTAAATAATAATTATACTTTATAGTTTAATCATGATTATTTTTTGAACAATTCAACTATATAAAGAAAAAACGTTGGATGAACTAATTCATTCATTATATTACTAAAATTAATTTGCTTAGTGTATATCTAGACTAATAGTCTAAAATCAATTATTTTTTGTAATTATCAATAAATCATTTTAAGTATGAAGGGAACTAACACGCTACAAATAAATATTATTATTATATTCCAACTGACCAACTATATGAACTATACCTATATTTTTGTCTGTTTACTACTATATAATATTCTTTAATGGCTATATGCTTCAGAATAGATTATTTCACTCTATTTATATCTGCAATGAAATATTTACTATTTTTGATCAAACGACTTTATTGAGACTTGGTTACCCATTTAGAAACTCATTAATTTAAACATTTTATTTTTTATTTGTATTGGTTTCAAACTTTATAGGTTTTGTATGATTAGTTTTTTAACAACACAGTTATGAATTCCCATTAAGAAATAGTCATCTTCCAATATACTTGTATGGTTATAAATTTAAAAAATATATATTTAATTGTTGAGTGACACCTGGCGGCTGGCATTATTCTGTACCTACTACTTGTGAGTTGTGACCGTTAATCAATTGAACATAAAATATAAACCTAAATATGTGAATGATCAATTTTTAATTTTAAAACAGCTAACTTCACTCTATAATTATAAATGAGTTTTAGACTATAATATACCATATATACATTGTCCATACATCTATTGTTTTTCTATTATTTCGCAGTGCACAATTAAATTATTTCAACCTAGTTTTTCAAAACATTATAAACCAAATATAACTGATTCGAATTGATACGAATTTCAATAAGTAACATTAGATATTCAAACCAAAACAAATTCAACTAATTTTTTTTCATAATGATAAATGATTATTCTTTATATATTAGGTATACTGTATAGTATATGTATAGTTGCATTTATTTAATCATAAACTTTAATGTCGGTACTTAGTATAGTTTGTGCAAAATGTAGTCATGGACGATTAATAAAAAAAGCCATACATACTTAGTATTAGGTATTTAAATAACTTGAATGGGTGTGTTTGAGGTGTGATGTAATTTTAAATTTTAAAATGATGTTAAATCATTGCATGAAATTATATATATATATTTGTTGATTCTAACGGAAGCTATTAGTTATGACCACAAAATTCATACATCCTTTTTCATAAGTACTTTAAATTAAAAATTTTAGATTTTTAAAAATAATTACATTCTACGCTCGGAAATTAAAAATGTCTAATGGTCTTAAAGACTGTAGTAAATACCGTTCAACATGTATATATAATATGTAAGCATACGACTGTGTATGAGAGTGAGATTTACGTATATAATACTTAATATGAGTCCAAATAAAACAGTAAATACTAACCTCAAGTTTTTGCTGTTTCTTACTCATGTTCTTGGTATCTTTGTCATCGTTATTCATCTAAAATATACACATTTATATGATAATTAATATAAAGTCACAGAAGTACTGTATTTAGGTGAGTAAAAATTTACTTAAAACATAAAAACTGCTCTAAAAATTCCAAAAAATTCAAAATGGAAGTTTTATTAAGTGCATATTGATGTATGAAACAAACTTTGTCTTTGTCTTAAGATAATCAGGAAATAACTAAATTTGTATTTAAACCTTCGACATAGTTAGCCGCTAGCTCCATGTCGTTATATGTAAAAATAAAAAATAAAAATAAGGGAAATAATAAAATATATAAAGTGGGACAATAGTAGGCTATATACCAATTACAAATTACAATACAGTTTATTATTATTCTACATATAACTAATGAATTTCTAAGCTTGATAATTGTTTGTATATTCATTCTTTGGTATACACCGAGAATATGGTAAATTATTTGTTTTTATATACTGAGTATTTTATGATTTTAAAATAACATAAACATATCATGTAAGATTTGCCAATTTCGTCGTATTATAATATCTTGTCCCTTGTCTAGGAAGAGATGATCATAGTAAACACCACTAAAATTAATAAACCATTGTGATATTAACTAAACAATATTTACTTAAGTACGCTTAGAAAAAAATGCAAACTTATGATTTTCGGAATATTTAAAAATTAAAATACAGGCTTGGGATGTGGTACAGTTTATCAAATATTAAAATTATGAATAAGTTATAAGTAATAAGTTATGAATTATGACTTATGGGGCGGGCTGAGATTTTGATGCACTTTGCATTGTTTTCCAATCTATAGCTACGCGATTCTCGTCTTTTGCAACATAATATACTTTTAACGTATTTTTGAATAAGAATAAAAAAATTTTATATTGCATATTTTTATATATTTTAAAGCATTTTAGGGTTTTTAAGGCATTTAACACTTAAATCCGTTTTTTTAAAGATTTGTGATTAAAAAAGTATTTTTGTAACGTGCTAACAAAGATCTTACGTAATCAAATATTATTAATCGTAATTTTCTGGACGGATCCGTACAACATAAAAAAGAGATCACGAGTGGCGACGGAAAATGAAATGAGAATAATTCTTTTTTTTTTTATTTAAAGTCCATGAAGAAAAATTTTCAATTTGAAAATAATTTTGGGTTCAAAACTTGTAAAAAAAAAATAGTGTATTCTATATGTTCATTATAATTTGTATTACAGTATTACATTCTACATGTTCATAGGTCGCTATTTTAAATTTTGAGGGCATTAACTTATTTATTTAAAAAATAATGATTAGGTATTTTTAGGTCATTACCAATTACATTTTCAGCCTTTTTTAAGTGTGTTATGAAAATGTATAAAAATTCTAAAATAAAAAATATATATTCATTTGAAAATAGCAAAATAGAATGGCCACCTCAGTTGTATCCTGACTAGTTGCGGATATTTTGTATTTTTAAATTCCGATGTTTCAAATTCAGACTTATTTAGGAATTAAATAACTTATCAAATATTTATATTATATCAAAATTATTATTGAATTTGGATTTATTCTTTCGAGACTCTATAGTTGAAAATTTAAACCAGTATTTTTATATTTACTATTTGTGCACCTGTAATTTTCCAACGGGACTCGATACCTAATCAAGTGCTCTAATTTATAATTTATATTATATCAGTTTAATTAAGTACATGACATTAACTACACGTGGTATCGTTTGTACTTGGTGTCTTGGTATATCGTATGACTGTATGAGATAAGTATTACACATTACATATTAATGTATTAATTATGTATTAACTATTTATAATATATAACACAATGCACATTATACATTGTCAAAGCTTGTTAGGTAATTCTATAAAAAAAGTTTTTAGACTACTATATTACACAAATTACACGATTTACGATTTAATATAGGTATTATACATATAACCTACAAGTTACATTAAAATGACAGCTTAAAAAAAAGTTGGTTAAATTTACCTGCATTTGTGAAGTAATGCTAAGGATGACTTCTTTGTTTTTATTTTTTCCATTTTCAATAACCTAAAACAAAAAATGAAATTTAAATTCAAATCTTGTCTTGGTCTGCTAGATTCAATAACACTTATTGGTAATTACCGATTATTTTAAATTAAGAAAATCAAGGAAAAAAATTGGAGAATCATTAATGGGTGGTTTCTCTGATCAAAGTATGTTCACTTATTTATATATCCATGTACTTTTTGTAATATTTTTTATTTGTCCTCAACCCAGGTCAGTAGTCACTGGTCACACACTACGATTTTTTTTTATAATATGTGAGATTGTGAGCAGTGTTCGATGTTGTTCAAACAATGTATGCGCCGCACTGAAAGTATGTAGGGCTTAAAAGAACCCCTGTGGCTGTGCCTACACTGAAAGTCGAAACGTTATGAAAACTGAATAGTTCGATTTTCGAAATAGTTCAAAATAGGTAAAATAGTGATGAAAAACGAATAGTGTGTGTGTGTGTGTGTGTGTTAAGTCTATACTCTATGACATGACTAATATTGAGAATTTAGTTCGTGTACAATGTAAATATGTTCATGAATAAATAACTAACTAACTTGCTAGTGGTATCTAACTGATAATATTATACAGTATCTACCATAATAATGTTTATGAATTGGTAACATAATGGAAATCTTAACTGTCAATAAATTAAAATTAAAATATCAATTAAGTAGGTAAATATTATAAAATATTATATATTATTAATGAATGATAAACATTTATTGTCATGTGAAAGGAATTTTATAATTGCATTCACTTTCAAGTTTTCCAAGCTATGGATCATCCAATGCTTGTAATTGTATATGTTTAAAGATATTAGATAAGTGTTGTGTGTATTTATAAATATATACGATACACCTTTTCAATTTCCAGTCGTTGACTTGAATTATGTTGGTATATATATTGTAATTGGTATTTGATACCACGTATTGTTATCGTATAATTATTTAAAATTGTCTTTTTTTTAAAAATAAGTTTGATACATAGGTACATTTATTAGGGTGTAATAATTGTAATGAATTATTTATCAATTATCATTATATCATTATTCCTGAGTATTCTAGTAAATGTTTGCATTATATTTTTCAATTTTATGGATATATTTTCCGTATTTTGGTTGCATTCAATTTAAAAATAAATTAACAAACACATAATTATTGTAATCATGCCTAAATTTTTGGTATTTTTTCTACCGGCCATAGCCGACTACAGCTCAACTATATACAGTCAATGACTATAGCCTGTATGCTATATTGTACCCTTAATTCCATATCTTTCATCCTCGACATCATGTCGATAATGTAAGTAAAAAAATGATAGTAAGTATACTATCTAGTATTGGTGGACAATTAAGGGGCGGTGGGGAAAATATGCATATAATATTATTATTTATTATCACCAATTTGTGTCTAATAATCACATTATAGATACAAATTGTTTATACTGAGTAATATGTATTAAAGGTAGCCCCCCACAGGTTCCACGATCTATTTTACATTCATCTCTAGTGATAATTCCTCATTCTACAACGACTCAGAAGACGTCCTCCTCACTATGTTGTCCCTGTCTTACTAATAAATAACATCAAAATTCTGAGTGCAATATGTAAAATATTAACGTACTTAAGAATTAAAATTGTATTGTAAAACCCCCAACGACTAGGACTCGAATGAAGTTTTCACCTTTAAGACGTTCGATAAAATATGATATTACAGGTCAAATCACTTAAATATTCAAGTCAAGTACACAACATTGGAACTGCTAAAAGCCTAAAATGTCTTGTCCAAGTATAATCCGTTTGCAAGAAAGAGATGACACATGCGGGTGTGACGTCTTATTAAACGTGTGTCGAGATAAAAAAAAAAATTAAAAATCGTTTAAATTTTCTGACGAAACTTACTTCGGATACTCGCGCCGCGACGGTCGCCTCCTTCTCGTCAGTGGTGATCTGCAACGTCGCCGGAGCAGCTGCAACAGTGGCCTCTTCGTCGGCTGCCTTCACAGCAGTAGGATTATGCTCGTCGGCGGCCGTCATCGCGGTCGAATTGATCCCGTCGACAGCCGTCGTCGTCTCCAAGCGGTCTACTACCGTAGCACCCGTCACCTTCTCGGCGACAGCGGCGGTGACGTCGTCGATGTAACAGGGCTCGGACGAGGCGTTGTCGGCAGTCTGCCGGTCGTTTTGCGCCTGTTCACGAGGTAACTCCTGCAGCGGCTGCGGCCGTGCAGCCGGTGATGATGGTTCCATGTCGGTCGCGTGCTCGCGTCTGTCGGACTGCTGCTGCCGTCGACTGTCGGGCGAGCAGGTTGTTGTGCGCGGTGCAGCGGCGGCGGCGGTACACTGTATCGCAGTACAGCGACGGAACGCGCGCCGGAGACTGCCGTTTGGTATAATATCATGATAATTGACGTATTGCCGTATTGGTATTGTTGTTATTGTTGTTATTGACTCCCGGGGTGCAGCGGCTGTCCACTCGAAATTGCGTACAGCAATACCTTACGGAGCTAGGGTGGTCGATGGGAGGGGAACATTCAAATATAAAATCATCCTCCCCCCTCCAAAATGTTTTTTAAAAAATTACTCCACATAATACTGTATTTATTATATGCGTATATGGAGTATAAACACTTGTAATATATTCATAATTGTTCGTAAAACAAGAAAATACATTAATATTTATTATGCTCAAAAATGCAATTAACATTATGGAATTTGTTGTGTTTTTTATTACGGCCTTGGTTTATTAGTCCCAGTCATTAATAAATTATAATTGCATAAAATGTTATGTTGACAAAAATTTGGGTGGACATTTAGAACTCTAACTCGAGCATAACTTGGTTAGCGACTGGAGCCCCATTTTTTCTCTGAAACATATGTACGATAAACGTAATACCTACATTATAAACTATATTATGCCAGATTTATCATAACGAATTACACAATCAGCGACTTTGCCTGCAAAACTTACCCTCCAATCAGAGCCACGCTCAGGAATTTTGAATGGAGGGGGGAGGGGGCTCAACTTTTTTTAATACTATAAAATAATCAATATACATTATGAATTAAAATTATAATTATATGGAAGTATATAGTAATAGTGCAAATATATTTGCCAAATGTACATGGAGAGGCTGAACCCCCAAAACCTCTGCCATCTGAGCACGTCCCTGCTACCAATCAATAATAACTTATTTAATAATAATAACTCTGTACTTGAGTTTACCGTTACAATTATTTAATATAAAATAAAAAACTATTATAACCATTAATGGGCATAAACTATTTCAAAACATCTATTCAAGTGCCCCTTCCTCCAATTTCGTATATGGGATAGTTTTACAATTTTATCTATATCAATTTTTATTGAATCACTGTTATAGTGTTGTATACTATTTATATTACTGCTATACACGAGTAATTACGCATATTATAACAATAAATAATAATAAAAAGTTTATAAAAAAAATAGTGCCGAGGCTTCAGTGGACCCGAGTTTATTTTTCACACCATTTGCTATAATTACAATGATTAATATATACATGGCTATTTATTAAAATGTCCTGGACCTACATAATATGGACAACATCTACAACACGCACACAAATATGTTTACATAGAACAATAAAAAAAAAAAAATTGTTTTAATCGCGACGGTGGTAATCAAATCGATGCGTGTCTCCCGATTCTTGTGTGGTGGGAGGGGGAGGACGCGTTCAGTCGGAACTGAGTTTTAGATTAAGCGTATTATCATTGAGTATATTATAATGTAGGTATACAATTATCATGTAATTGTACAATGTACAATATACAGTATACTCAATGGTCTCAATGGCATTATTCATAGGCATATAGCTCATTTTGTGTGAACTGATACATGTAATAGTGTAACATTATACTGTTTGATATTGTAATACGATTGCGTTTTAAAGACGCGCCAGACGCCGGCGCTTAGAACGTTATTGCAACAAGTACAATAATATAACATATTATGCAGTTTATAATAATAATATAATTCAATATACTATTATTGGGTACATATTATTGCGCTATCGACGATCACGCAAGTATACGCGACCGCGACTGCGGTGGATCATTGTATTTATGTATAATATTATTATAATATAATTGGTTAGCGTATATATAATATGGGTCGTCTGACGAGCCAGCATTATTGTAATCTATATTACCCGGTTCGTATATTATTCTATTGTAGGCCATCGCCATTACGGTATCAGTGATCGAAACACTAAACGCGATATAATATATGAGTATTATTACAATAGCAGTTACATGTGCGCACGACGATAAAGCGGTAATTATGTCGCGATACCCCTCCGCATGTCACATATTCCGTTGGACCGTTTAAAGTGCATACGATTTATAATATTATATTTAGGTGCGATATATTATATTATATTAAGATGACGTAGCCACCTTCATTTGCGAGTACACAAATCACAGTTCAATATAATATTATATCAATACATATGCATGGATGTACAGTATATATGCACAGACGACAGACGTCAGACACACGAGTATACGCACAATACACGTAAGTACGTGACACATCGCGCAATGCGTGGACGAAGCGCCGACAAAGTTACTCACAAATCACGATTTACGATAAAAATATGTGCATAAATAGTGTACCTACGAATGGCCGGATACACACTCGACGCCCGAGATAAATGATGATGCATATTAAACTAATGATATGATATTATTAGGCAAATATATATACATATAGGTACTGTTATGTCAATATCGAATATCGCACGAATAAAGTAGCATGCATAAATTATTATATATTTTTTTTTAACTTTTATTTTTAAAACATACAGTCTATAAATAAATTTTACAATAAGCATGTATGATGATTTATATGACATATTGGCGTGGTTGACACGATTAAGTGAATAAAGTGATCACCCAGCGGTATAACACTTATACTGGCTAGAATTTGAGTTATTTAAGGTCGCGGTTCCATTTACCTATTAACCTTCTTGGTGGGTTTCCGGGAATGAATTCAGAATTTAGAGCAATGATTAGAGGATTGGAGTGGATTCTAAGACGGGCACGGAAGAGTTTATAGGAATTTTTGGTTTCTTCTTGAACAGTGAGTATTTTTAGGTCTGGATGTAAGGTATGGTTTGAGACATGGGGAGGAGCGCATGTAATCATACGTAGTGAGATTGATTGGAATGTTTGAATTTTGTAGATATAAGATTTTTGCTGATCTCCATAGCTGGATACCGTACAACCAAATTGGTTTGAGGAGGGAAATTAATGTATAAGCTGCAAATCTGCAACATCTCTTATTTATACCATGGTGGCTGGCGGGTGCAGTCTTAACCATAATGATACGCATGCATATACCTATTATACAAGGTCTTCACTTGTAGGAAAATATTTCTGTATACGACAGACACAATAATTCCATACATTTATACCTATGTGTATAGATGCCTACGATTATACACAACTGTTGGCGACTTCAATTTGTTTAGTCGACAACCGTATAGTCATATACTATTAATTGTAAAAATTATAATATATAGTTATTACTTTTAAAACGTATAATTACAATTGTACGAAAAAGTCACAAGGTATCTGTTACCTGCAGAAAGTTACCAATGTTACAGTGTAGTAAAGTAAAAACTGTAGACGATTTATTGAGGGAAACAAACGAAATAAAAATCCATTTATTATTACATAAAATGTTTATTTCTAATATCCGCTAACAAAAAATCCTTAAAATATTATCTGTTTGCTATTACTGCGAAATCGCCTGTATTTATTGTAAGTACACCGTTGATATTAATGTGAGGTACCTTTATTATATATCGTATAATTCACGATTTCTATAATCAGTGTGCTATTCAATGAGTAATGGATGTAAAAGTGACACAAGGAGGGGGGGGGGCGAATTTCAAAAAAATAAAAAATAACTTTTTTTCGGACCAATATAAGAATATAGAATAACGTAAAAACCAATCCAAGGGGAGAATGAACCTCCCATCACCCAAGCACCCTGTATCCACCACTAGCTTGAATTGAAAAAATAAAATAAAAGGGTCTTTTCTGCTTCAAAAAAGTAGAGTCTCTTATAATATTATTGAACTCAACCTAGGTTAGTAGGTTTGTAAACTAGTTACCTAACTTGTGACTCATGAGGTGTGATTTTTCAAGCAACCGGCCATCAATCCAAAAAACAAATAATTACATAAAATCCATGACTATGTTGACTGTAGCTAAGTTGTAGTAGTAAGTAGTAAGTTGTATTGTAGAATATTGAAATATAATAATTGTACTATTAATGTCTATTTTGAAAAATGTTATACAAAATATTTTTTAAGCATGCATGTAATTTGTAATTTGTAATTTGTTCGAAATTAAAAATAATTATGATATTCCATGCAGCTATAATTATACAGTTTAATAATAATAATGAATTGTATAATTCATAAAATTGAATTTTTATATCTTATACAAATCAAAATTGTATTTAACCTATTTTGAAAGAATAATTAGTAGGGATTGTCTCAAAAAAAATGGCTATAATAAGGTGATAATTAACAATTTGACATGATTAACAGATAGTAATTACTATATGATATAGATCTGCGGGTGTGTATTTATTATTAAATTATATAATAGCTAGAATGCAAGTATATGATGAATAATTATAGAGTAGGTTTATATCAAACATTTAGACGTATACAATATAATATTCGATGATCGTTATTGATAAGTGTCCGGATATTGCAGCAGTGATAATTGCCGTGCGGATATGCATTTATACGTGCATTATAAATTATAATGTATGGAAATATTGTAAGTAGAGTCGTTTCGAAAGCGCGATGCGCAAAACGTAGTCATGTGGAATGTATTTTTAGTTTTTATTTTGTTGTAAGTGCAATGTGCATTAAATTATATATAATTTATATATATATATAATACATTATGATATGAATCAAAACGGTTGTATACACCTAGCGTTGTATGCATTGTGCAGTGTATAAGTATGAAATTATGCATGTAGGTATACGTGTACAATAGTCTATAGTGTATGTTATATAGTATCAGGTATAATATATTATAATTTATATTCATCATTGGGCTTAGACATATTATGCACATGCCGCCGACGAAACAATGCGTACAATTTCATGCTGTGTGAGTGGTATAAAGATGCGAAGGTCGGATTAATTTAATTGTAAAAATAATTATAAGTAGGTACCGGTAGCGCAAAAAAACACCATAATAAATTTTAAAAAAAAATCACGCTTACTACAAGACAACGAAAAAACAATGTTTTTTTTCGACAACTTCTATTGTACGTGCGACTTCTATATAATATGCATATATATGCGTATTATGTACGTGTATATTATACTCTCAGTATATTAATATATCTGCAATTGCTTGCACTCTCGATCCACGGGGTGGCTATACGGTATAAAATACTTTCGAAGAGCAGTAGGTGGTGGGTGTGTATAGGTATATGAGTGTACGACATGTATGACCCATGAGGTACCTATACAATTAATTGTACACTATGAAGTGGAAATGTGGAATCATATTTATACACATCGGCTGATAAAGTATATGTGAAATAAGTGTATTTATTTATATGTGCCAGTGCTATACCTAGATAGGTAACATGAATACGTGAGTTTTAAATTTAAAGTTTGGTGCTGCGGATGACCAGGAAATTATTTTCACAGCTTAATTACTATACCTATTACCTAGTATACCTACCGGCTACCAATTCAACGGTTGTGGTTCCGACGGGCGTCGGGGCATTGAAATTTCTCAACACATGATTTAAATCTCAAAATTATACGCATATTATTACAACACGGTTAACACCGGTAAGTATTAGCTGGATTTATGTTCCTGTCTAATGTTCACCATCCACAGGTACATGTAACAGGTTTGTAGTCTGTACGCTGAAATATATTTGCCCATCTGCAATAAAACATATTATAATATCATCAAACCAAATTTAGATTGGCGTTTTAAAATTATATAATTATGATCGGCAATATTATAGTATAGGTACTGTTAATTTATTTGTACTAACCTCTATCTACGTTATAATGTCAGAGTGCGGGAAATGGGTAAAGCGGCGGATAATTATACATGCAACGTTCATTCATTCTGTACATATAATGTAATGACCATCAAATTTGGGCAATGTCAACTATATACGCCACACCCTTTAATTTCTTTAGTTTGGCTGACTGACCGGATGTTATAAATAACAAATCATTGCACGGTATAGTACCACGCTATATAGTACCTACCTACTGTACCTAGCGTGTATTGCTGGTTCAAGTACAATGCTCGATTATCTATTTTAGATATAGAAGCGGTAGGTAGGTATGATAAAGCAAATTTTCATTCAAATTTTAATGATATGAATACTAATAAAAATAATATTAAAACCGTTATAGTACAAACTGGAAGAATGTAGGTACGTTACATATTCATAGTGCTTACAAGTTACAACCGTATAATAAATATCAACAGTTATATAGGTACCTGTATAAGTTTAGTACCTATACCGCTGATACTATTTTAATACAATCAATAATGTAAATATTGAGATTTTGTAGACTTATTGAGTCTATAGTCTATACTACAGAGTATAGACTAGTATAAAGTGTAGACAGTGATTGCCCATAGGTATGTATGGTATACTTCTATATTACATAGATACATACATGCAGTGATAACTGTCTGTATACAAAATATAAGTGATGCGACGCATGTATGCCGTATTTGTACGGACTACCTATTAGGTTATGAGCTATTATAAAAATGGTTACTCATTCTATTAAATGTATAATGACTTCTGAAGTGTAATGTTTAATAATTATTATTATAAATTCACGGTCGGTTATAGGAAGAAGGTTGAGTGGGCTCACAAGCTCTAAGGGCCATCACAATTTTGTAATTAATAAAAAAACAAATTTAAACATTAAAGCCAAAAAAATAAAAATACCCAATTTGTGAATCTGATTTTCATGCAAATTTTGGCCATAAAAATGTTTATCTAGTATATTTTTTTACAGTTTTTTAAAATATCAATATTTTTTTGAAATAAATTAATTTGAAATGTAATAACTTTTTTCAAAATATTCTTTTTTGAAATTTCCTGATATAAGTATATTTCTTAAATTATTTGTTATCAATAATCAATTTAATTCTTATAATTGTTGTCATATGTTTAAATACTATCAGGTTTTTCTGTAACGCCCTGTACATGAAAAATTAAAAAAATACTTCGATGCAAGAACTAAATTAAATTTTTTTTATAATGTCTACGGGATGGATACAGTATATATAGGTAGTGTAATGTTGGCGATGTCGTACAGTGCTTTCTTCAATCAGATTTATCTACTGTACCTGCTATATATAATCAAAAAATTAACGTTTGATACTTTGATATATGGTCGTATTCTTTAAATTTAAATAATTTATGACTATATAACATGTACTAAGTAATGAGTACCATGGATGATTGAATCTTTATAAATATACATAACAAAGTATTCAAATAAATGCTTATAACTTGCATTAAGGAAAGGGCTTTGTTGTTTTTGTTAACTAATCATAAATTATATTATTTTTGACTAAAGTTGGCTCGTTATATTTGATATATGATGTATTATTTACCTACTTTATTAAGTTCCACATAAATTATATTAATTTGTTGTCTGGGTCAATTCGTATTCTATCATCTGGAATATTCAAATGATTCAAAGCCTCAAAGATCTCAATGTGTCATCTTCGTGTGATCTCCACGGTGCACTGTCCACTTATTATGTCCTTCTCGTACCACCGTATTATTATATGTAGGTATCTATTCCATCTTCACAGTATCCACGACACTCCTTATTATTTTAAATATATATTATTATTTTATTTTTTCCATATTTTTTTGAGCATTGATGTCTCTAAACCAATCATAATAATTACGTGATTACCGTAAATGCCGACTGCTCTGCAGTGCTCCGTGTGTTAGGGCTCTGGGCTGTGGAGGCTATACGTCTTACATGACAAAAAATAAGAAACTTTAAAATACGAACAAGTGCATTAACTGTTAATGATTAACATATTGTTATTATATTCATTTGACATTATAAAAATACTAAGCTCATAGCTAGTAAGTAATAACCTATAACTATATAATATATATTTACATAGTCATGTGGTCACATTATAACACTTAACAGGTAAGAGCATATTATATTGTCTGGTCTGTATGCTAAGTGTTAAACTAGGGGTTAAACTGTTAACAGTTAATGGTGTATGTATATAATATAATGTCTGTGTGTGGAGAGGCTAGTTTTCCGCAAGTCTACCACAAAATTACAATCAACCTAAATCATATAAAAAAGCAGAAGTGCTGGATCCCCTGGATACCGATATATACATATTAAAACAGTTAACACAGTCAAATTTTATTTTTAATAAAAATAAAAACCTTTTAAATAAATATTATTTTTTAGACCCCCACCCTCCCCACAAAAATGTTTACTAGCATAAGATGGTCTTTGCAAAGTTTTTTTTTGAACTCTATAAAGACGCTACCTATATAGATGCTAAATTTCTAGCTATTTATTGTAGCCCACCACAAAAACTATTTCCATGTACCTACGCTACTGTTAAGTTAATAATAACAGTGTTATACATGTGTATATTGTAGGTATACAATAGACTTTTGGATGTTTTATTATAGGTGTTTAATATAACACAATATAACAGCTATTAAGTACCTCTACTCGTATGAACAATAAGATATATATTTTTTATTTCAATTCATTACTTTTAATTATGGTTAGACGACGGTCGACGGCTGCACCCAATGGATCTGGCTGCATTTCTGGGTTGATTAAAATGACAAACGTTAGCAATAATGTAAGTTATACCTATTTTCAATGTAGCAATAATACTCAACTATACCCAACAACCCGTAGATGTGTTATATTTACACGGGCTCTCGAAAACGTGCGTAGGTCGTATTCGTATAGGTATTAATAATATTACATTAAGGGTACATTATGCATATATAACGGGTATGATTGTATGAAATGTGAATAAAAAAAAAACCGGTAAAGTCGTTCTGCTGTATAGGTGGTAAATAGAATTCGAATCTACCTCTTCATTGAGTAATAGATTGCTACAATCATAGATGGCATGTTACAATTTGAATTCAATATGATAAATTGTAGAATATCAAAAACAATTCCGAATGAATCTTGATCTGTGTGACAACCTCTTTTCTAACGAAGTCTTATAAATTATTTATATTACTATTAGGATTTATAATACATACTCGTAGTATCGATGTTATTAGTAATGTCATTAATACGTGGTTTGTAATATGTTGAAATTATTAGACATTTATATCATACAGTTTTGTTATTATATTTTGTGTATTTATAAAAAATAACATTATATATATCTAGGTATTATATAAATATATTATAGGTACCTAGTACCTCCCAAGTTGCAAGTTTACAAGTTTACAACCATAGATTGGTATAATAATATGTTCATTGCTCACAGCATAATAACTTAAGTTATAAAGTAATTCTCAATCGGTCACATCAAATTAACACATGGACATGGACACTTCATGGAAAAGACATATCCGCCCTTATGCAACACAAAAACTCCATGAAGCACATCATCACCTATTGCCAGTTCAACGAAGCCAGAAATGAATTTAACATTCCGAACAATTTATATGAAGCAATTGATCCATTTTCAAACACCCTCATCATAATTTCTTATCTTAAAAAAAATAAAATGTATTATATAGTGCTATATAATGTTAACTTGTAAAATGTATGTAAACTAAATAAACTGATTACCATTGTGTTGATGCCAAAAATAAAATTGAAAATAAATAAATAGGTAACTAAAATCGCTATAGGAAAAACTGTTACAATAACGTTTTGTCAAAATTCAACCTTCAAATGTAGAAAAAAATTAGTGACTATGTATTTTCGATATTTTTTAATTGTTGTAAGGACACTTTATGAGGAACCTTGAACTACATTTTAATCTTTTGACTTGTGAAATAATTTAACCAACATAAATAAAAAAAAATCCTAAAAAAATACATAAATACGTTTAAACACCCATTTTTTGGACATCATTTAGGTTTTCATCCAATAATCTCCGTATAAAATTTATGTTTAATATGATGCCGTTTAGAGATACCTATACCTCTGTTAAAAGTGCTATATATGCAGAACAACCGAGAACAACATGGTGAAACTTTTTTTTCCTATTATTCTTTGATTTTACTGAGAATATCACTGTTTTTATTAAATTAATATAACTCAATAAATGATTAGATACTTTGAACTTGTAAATCTTGGTGACTTTATGTTAGGGGACTTTTAGGTTAGGCTATTTTGTCATTTGGATAAATATTTTTAAACAACAGTTATTATATATTAATTTAATTGAAATATATTGTTATTAGTATTTATTCATAACTCCGTAAGCACAAGAGAAATTAATGAATTCTATAATGCTATCTTCTACTTACAGTTTAAATTATTTTCAACCAAACTCGTGTATTAAATTGCATTTATTGTTTGCCGCCTGTAACTTTATGGAAAGCAACTGAACACACAATGTGTTTAACCACTTCTGATCTGAGAAAAATAAACTCTCTTCAGTTACTTATTAATCACATATTGATAAGCATTATACTTTGGTTGGTTTATGGTACAGACTTCTATATAATACATTCTATATTATAATTCTATATTATATAGAAGTCTGTGGCGACTGCACAATATTTATACAATAATATAGTTTAATAACACATTGATGCCGAGCCAAGAGAAAATTATGGGCACTATTAAAATTTCCATTTTTTTTTTACTTTTGTAATTTTCAAAGCCTAATTTTGAATTTATCTCAAGTCTTGACACTTATAGAGTTTTATATTTAGGTATAGTTTTTCCATTAAAATTAAAAACAATATTGTGCCTTTTCGAAAAAAGTAATGGACTGTATAATATATACGTAGAGTTCCGTGTTATGAATTTTATAGATTTAAATACTTCGAATAATATTCTGTTTCGGAATCTGAAATAAAAAATGTAACGTGTCATCCAAAGAAATAAAAAACTCGAAAACTGATGATGATATCATATTATATTATAGTATCTATAATCCATGGCAAAAATCGATCATCGTCACTCATCGCCAACCGGAGACGATTCACAATTCTAATAATTTCAATGAACAAAAGAGAAATGTGTACGGCAACAATAAGCCGACTACCGACGAGTCATCAAACATAAAATTTACTCACATTTTTAATTTTGCTCAAGTAATTTTTGTAAAATATTTCCATCCTTCCAGTTCGGAATGAGATGAAGATCAAGTCCCTTGATATGGTGTCTCCTCCGACTCTTGTATAACACAGCTTTATTTAACCCGAAGAGTCGGTGTACCTTTACGTAAGTTTGATTACCAACTCTTTCGTGACATACATATTTTACTTTTAAGTTTTAAAATTAAAATTTATTGCTAATTTACGACTCGGGTGACGTAGGCGAATGTTTTTTATTCTTGAGCGCGCAACCCCAGGTAACAGAATAATAACATATTTATACAATTAAATAGGTATAAATAGTGTTGTACATGCTAGAGGCTAGTCATACTACAGTAGTACAGTACACTGGAGTGCTTGTTTCCTGCAAAATCCAACAATTTTTGTTTTTAATATACATAAATGTTTAGTTACATTATACAATATTTAAACTCTACCCCTACACCATCAAAACCTAAAATTCCGTCGAAAAGTTCTAAGGCGTCACTTGGGCGAATTGAATAACGAATGAATACTAAAATACAGTGGACGCCGCTTATAATACTCACATTGGGACCAGCACAAAGTGAGTCTTATAACCGAATGAATCTTATAGGCGAAGTGGGAAAAAAAATTAATTACATATTTATGAATTTCATTTTACTACATATTTTTCTTTAATTTTAATACTCTAATACATATTACATAATATGACATACGTATTATTGAATAAATTAAAAAAAGTATAAAATATACCTATCCAATGCAATCACAATTAATACACAAAATATTAATTATTAATTTCGTGCTCGAAAGTATTCAGAGACAATTTTTGACTTGAAATTGTACAAACTAGTAGTTAAAGTCAGTAGGTACGGTAACTATTAACTGTGATTCATTATGATAATGTATACGTATTATAATGCACTATATGTCTGTATCTATACCTTTATGTTAAATCTAAATAGTAACAATTACATATTTTATTGATAATAAATTAATAACATTTTTATTTTAAAGTTCACGAAAAAATAGCTTGAACTCTTAATATTTAAACCTCATCTTAATCAATAAATAAATAAAACAATTATAATAATACTATAATAGGTACTTCATACATATTGTTGTTATTTAAATTTAAAATTATAAACTATTTTGGTTATTGTTATATACTTATATCACATTTCATTCACTCAATGAACAAATTGCAAACATGGACCTCTTTGTAATAAAAATGTGTATTATTTTTATATCTTTGGTTTCATCATATTCCATTTTCTTCAACAGCATCTTTGCTGATAGAAAATTAATCTTGTTGATTCTTTGAGGGGTCAAAAGTAAAAAATTTTAAAATGTTTTCAAAAGCGGTAGGAAGAACAAACAAAAAATTAAAGAAAAAAGAGAATTTTTATGCAGACCCGGTTTTCGACAAAATCGATTTTGGTATTGATGTAACACTAAAAAAAATATCGTATACATGACATTTATACTGAATATTTATATCCGCGTTTTCTATAAAAAATAAAATTCGTTTAGATGCAGTTGAATTTCGATTTTCGACAAAATTCGTAAAAATCACGAAAGGTATTATTATACTTGTACTTGTATACTTGTAATATTCTATATATCTGTGAAAATTGTTGTTATTTTATTCCTTATCAACTGTTCAACTTGGTTGTCTGATAATAAATTGATATCTGAAAATCAGAATTTTTAAATGTCTATTATTGAGGTTTAATTTAGAGTTCATACTTAATATTAGTTGATAATAATTACAATTTTACGGACGGCTATTGAAAATTGAATGTTTCTGGATAATAGTTTGATTTAAGAGTAATATTGATCATATGCCGTGTATGTTACAACTATGATTATGCGTAATCTCGGTGTTCTCAGTAGTTGGCTGACCAATCGTTCGTTTTCTACGAACAAATCAAATGTGTTGGTGTACAATTGTAGAACCAAAACCAAAGAACCATTGAAATGTAACAAGCTTCTGACATGGTATGTTTGTGGTCCCACGGTATATGACTCAATGCATATTGGACACGCAAGGTCAGTTTTTTATTTTGGTACATAAATATAATTTAAAAGATTTAAGAAACAGTTTTTATACCAATTTGTTCTAGCTGCTACGTTAAGTTTGACATCATCAGAAGAATTTTGGAGAATTATTTTCAGTTGTCTGTATTTCAAGTAATGAATATTACCAATGTGGACGATAAAATTATTTCAAAAGCACGTGCCCTAAAAATGGACCCACTTCAATTAGCAAGGTTTAGATGTTGGACCATTCAAACATATTATACTATGCTGATAATATTTAACTATTTTTATCTATAAAATAATTATTGCATACATTATTTAATATTTTTAGGAATTACGAAGTAGAATTTATTGAAGATATAAATTTGCTGAACATAAAACAACCAGATATTATAGCAAGAGTAACTGATTTTATTCCTCAAGTCTTAGATTTTATTCAAAACCTATTTGATAAAGATCTAGTCTATTCGGCAGATGATGGTAAGTTTTGAAAATAATTAGAAAATATTTTGGTCATAAATGTTGAAAAAGCCTTTTAGGTTTAATAGTTTCAATGTAAAAAGGTTCATTGTTTTTTGATACAACTAAGTATAAAAGATATGGAAAAATCTTTAAAGTGCCTGAAGTTGTACCCCATACGTTCAAAAGGAGTAGTTTAGATTTCGCGCTGTGGAAAGCATCAAAACCAGGTGAACCTTCATGGGATTCGTCATGGGGACCTGGACGACCAGCATGGCACATTGAATGTTCTGCTATTGCTAGGTATCTACTTAATTTATGTGTACTCAATATGTAAATTTGTTATGGAATTCTAAATTCATATTTTGTAAATACGTGCATCTGATTTTATTAAATGTTTGCAGTCATTATTTTGGATCTAGTATTGACATACATTCTGGAGGAATAGATTTGCTGTTCCCACATCATGAAAATGAAGAAGCTCAATGCTGTGCACATCATAGTGTCAATGATTGGGTCAAATATTGGATACACACGGGTTCTTTTTTAATTATGTGCTTTCCTTTATTGAACAATAATAAAATGTAATGTTTTTTCAGGACATTTACATGTTGGAGATAATATTAAAATGTCAAAATCGTTAATGAACACCATCAGCGTTAAAGAATTACTCAATTCATATACTGCTAATCAATTTCGAACATTATGTTTACTATCAAATTACAAAAATGGTAAATTACATTCTGAGAAATTAAGAAATTAATTAATCTAAAATAATTAATTAATCTGAGAAATTAATTTCTAAATAAATTTGAGCTAGCTTTTAAATTTTAATCTATAAAATACTTCTTGAAAGAGCATAAAAATTTGGTTTATATTATATTTTACTTGTGTAAAAATTTTAGATTTGGAATTCAATGATAGTTCAATGGACGTAGCCTGTGGAGTGTTAAAAAAATTTGATTCTTTTATTGCTAATTGTTATGCTCATTTAAATACTTATAACAATAACAGTGAGCATATTTCTGATACTACATTACTAAAAGTAAGAAAACTGTATAATTAAAATAAAACAAACCTTTACTTATTTAAATTTAACTCTTATTTTTAGAAAATTTGTGACATTGAAAATGATATATTAGTCAATTTAGCAGATAATTTTAATACATCAAAAGCTTTAAATTTACTTATTGAGCTTATCAACAACTTCAATAAATTACTTACGGTGGTAATGTTCAATTTTTTTTTATATTATTTAAATTTAATATTATTAGTAAAAAGAGTATGATTTAATTCAGGACTTTCATTTTAATTGTTCAAAATTGGAAGTGATTCAGGCATTAAATTTAGTAATAAAAACATTGGAGTCATTTGGAATCGATTTAGCTACATTAAAGGTAATGGTTATTAAAGAAAAAATGTAATAATCAATCAATTAAGAATGATTTATTTTTAGTTCAAGTCTGATGCTGAAAATAATTTAGTTATTGATATCACCGTAAATTTTAGAGCAAAACTTAGACAGTTAGCATTACAATCAAAGTCTGAGATTACCAAAAAAGATATATTTACACTTTGTGATACATTGAGAGATCAACTTTCTTTAGCCAACGTTATTGTACAAGTAAATAGATATAATAAAATATAAATAAGTTTAACTTAATTTATTTTAATTTAAATTACGATTATTTCAGGACTCTAAGACATCATCAATATGGAGACATGAAAAAGTAACAAAAATACAAGCCAAAGAAAATTAAATACAAGACTGATTAATTTTCTGTTAACTTAAAGCAATTATTAAATTGGTCTTATTTAGTCTACAGAGTGTTGTCTACTTTTATTTATAAAACTTATACATTTTCAATGAAATTTGGGTATTGTTAACAAAAAATATGATTTAAAAATAATTATTAGCAAAATATATCTAATATGTAAACATTTGTGTAATATAGAATTACCAAGAACTACTTTTTGAAAATTTTTATCTCGATTTTAATATACCTTTAATATTAGTTGTGATAATTGATACATCAATGTTAATTCATAATTGCTTATTTTCCATCAATACAATCCAGCATTCAGTGCCGCATTAAGGCTCAAACACCAGGCTAAATACATATTTTTTAGGTAGTTAAGTATTTGAAATTTGAATATATATTTTATTTCAAAAAAATTCAAACACTTGCAAAAAAACAGGTTTTTAAATTCATGGTCATTTAAATTTTCCTAACCTAAGGAAGGCTTTTTGTACAACAAAACATAACCACTTACATAGGTAATTCATAAATGAAAACAATATAGTGTGCTCATCAGTTTTTATTGTTTGAAATATATTTATTGAAACACTATATGTGTATCTTGTTCAGTATCTATTATCTAATACAAACACATACAATTTTAATCTTAATTTGATTTACTAATTAATTATTGAAGTTAACTTACACAAATTATAAACATCAAATTAAAACAAAATTTGAAATAAAAAATAGTCTAATGCACATAAATATTTAAAAAAAAGAGATGTACAATGATATCTCATTAACTTTATTTATATTGTTATTAAGTACTTATTAATTAATACAAACTTTTTGACTAGAATTGTGTACAACGAAAAAATAAAAAAAAGCAATACAAAAAAATTAAGGAACTTTCTATCATCACTATTAAATTAATCGTTGGGAAAAAATGTAGGAAAATTACAATTATTTTTGCTAAAAATAATCACAATTTGAGCAAAGCAAAGAAAATTGCTTTGAATGCTGTACATAATAGGATATTATTAATAAAGTGTAAATCTAGCATAAGTTAATAGTTTTTCATGACAGTCATCAAACACACCCACATTCACTCAATTGATAAAAAAAATAGGTAAAAGTCTGACATTAAGCTTTATTTCAATTCAGAAAGTTATCTATTGAGTTTTTTCCTTTAACAATTTGTATATCTTGGCAGTCATACGATAATTAAATAAAGTCTTACATAGTGTAACATAATTTAATAGCATTACAAATGAAAGGTAAAATATATGATGCCATTGAAAACTGATGACTAGTGCAATAATCAATACTACCATAAATGATACTTGCATCGAAGCCAATGTAAAAAATATTGTTTCTGAAGGATTACTGAAAATTCTCTAAAGGTGAAAAGAAAAATATATCGTTGAAAATGTATTACGGTCCAGGTTAGGTTAGGTGTACTTACATAAAAAACTTTATCAGCATTTTTTCCTGGTTCAGCTACATTCGATACTCCTTCAGCCTTATACAAACATTGATTATGTCGAACTAATGATCCTTGTTGCCATACCACTTCTTCTGACCATCTGCAATATTCTATTGGTTATAACAAACACTAGAAAAAATAATATTGATACATACAAATGTATGGGCAAGTGAGGGCGATCTAATTTTACTCTTTTCCAACGGCCCAAGTGCATAGCTGCTTTATGTAGGTGATCAAAATACCTATGTGAAAATTAAAATTAATAACCAAAACCATTTTTATATTTCATTTTTTAATCTCTACATTAAAAAAAAAAATATATTAAATATGGATTTGATTAGTATAGTATAGGTAATTCCTTACTTAACAGGATAATAATGAATACACAGCATCATGCCCATAGTCATCATTACAAAAGGAAAATGCATTAACACCCAATGTTCTTCATAAACCACATAAGTCTGGAATATATTTATACACATAGAATTAAATAAAAAAAAAAGGGAAATTTATATAAACAATGAACTAAATTCTAAAACTATGCGTAAATAGTATCAAAATTGTTTTTACAGAATGTTAACCACACAAAATTTAAAACTATGTATTGGGGACGAGGTGACCGAGTGGTCTGACTCTTCCGCTGCGACTCAGCCGGTCGCGGTTCGATCCTCGGCCACCGGGCGGCATTTTTCTCCGGACAAGTCGCGGTGACCGGAGAGCAAGTGCTGCCATCCCCCACCCCCGGGGCATGGCAGAAACCTACGGGTGCCCCATTCGAAATTCTGCCAAAACAAACACACACGTGTTCCCCCCTACCGTACCAAAAACATACAAACCATCAATACAAAAAAAACCTACAGTACCTACTAATAGCTAATGGCCACAGTTGCCGGGCTCAGGATCAATTAAAAAAAAAAAAAAAACTATGTATTTTACTCACATTTATATGAGACAACAAAATAAACAGTAAATATTTGATTAAAAATAAAAATTTTAATTGTAATTATTGGTGAAAATTAATGATTTTTTTTGTCAATTTTGGGTACATCAGACTTTTTCCGAGTTCTTTAGGGTCCAGTCTGATCAAATATTTTATCAGTGTGGTTAAATTTAAATCATAAATAATAAAGATTATGCTTGGATAACTTCCCTCTAAAATGATTATAATATATTGTATTATAAAACACAATATACTGATTTTTATAAGTAGTAGATTAGTGATGTTTTTAGAGTTGTTAATATAGTGAAATATTTATTTGAAAAATACAAACACCTCTTAACAGTGTATAATCTCTTTATAAAAGCCAAGGCAATTGTAAATACTCTTACACTCCAGTTAAGAGTTCCTTGTATAGTTAATTTTCCCAATAGTGAACACATATTTGAACAATATCCATTACATAGAGATTTACACTTGAAAAATCAGAAAATTATAATGTTTTAATGTCGGGTTGCATGAACAATCTATTAATTTAATAGTTCAATAAAATGTTATAGACTAATCATGGGTTACTAAATCATGTTAAAGGGATCATTGGCTCACTATTGATTCTTTAAAAGTTTAGTGATTGTTCATGCAACTTGACATGTGTTCAATTATAAACGATAAAATAACATACTTGTACAAATACTAGTGGTAAAAAGCATGCATAATATGCTGAGAAAAAAGAAGAAAACAATATTTGGGTTAGCCTATTATTAAAATCATCTCTCATATTTTCCACTTCTGATCGAATTATTTTTGGGTTTGATGTACATATGTGCATATTTGTGTATTGAACTGAAAATGTTAGAAGTTATGATAAATAAGTAGTAACAAATAATAGCAATGTTATATGATTATAAAACAGTTATTTTTAACAAAAGGGTTGCCATTTTTACTACAAAATCGAGCATTGATATCTAGGTTTCCCCAAAAATGTTTTGCTAATAAAATTACTAATACATGATAAATTATATTTAATTCCATTTATTATTTCCATATAGTTGTATAATTCTGTTTTAATTTTTTTTTATCACATTTTACTTAATGGCGACCCTTTAGTTAATAAATAAAAATATAAAGGTTTTATAAACTGTTAATTTAAAGCAAAAGAGTAAAAATGTTTATAATAATTTAAAAAACTTACTTAATGATTTTCCATTGATAATTATTTCTTTTTCGCTAATACACATCATATCAAAAAATGGACATGCTTTAAAACCATAATAGCATAAATAACCAATTATCCTAAAAAAAACCAATATTTAGTTTGGAATGAAAACACTAATTTACATACAAATGGATTATTGACTTACGGCATAAATAAGTAAACTATTATTAAATAATCATACTTTAAATAGAGATCAAATGCCAATAGGGCTAATAAAAGAAATAGTGTGACTGAAACAAATAATCTGAAAACATTTATGGTATAAAAGATTTGTTCAAATGTATGTAATAAAAAATTTATTGTATGAAATAAAGAAAAATCTTACCTAATGAATAGTCTAATAAATTTCCAATAATTTTGAGGACATAACATGTGGAAAACCCATGTTATTAAGCAATATATAAATCTTCGACAATGCATAGCTAGTATAAATATAACCACTTGATAATCAATTAAATGTATTTTCTGAAAACAAATAGGAAAAACAATGTTAATTATTATAAAATCCTTAGATCTAATAATGTGAAATTGAATTAATTTAAAAATTTTTATGCAAGTTACTAAATTTAAAATTCAGTAGTATTATTCTATAAATTCCATATTTTAGTTAATAATAATATAATGGATAAAGAAAAATACTAACAATACTAAACATACCTTTTAATTAGGGAATTATAATTTATAATTTATTAAAACTGATTAGAAATTTATAAGTGTAATACATAACTTTGATACTCATTATATTGCGTTCATACCAATCAGTCGTAAATTCCGTTTGTAGTACTTTACTATCTGAAATTATCATTTGATCATTTTTTTGTCATAAGCTTTTGTGAAAATAATTATTGTATGATTTTCATTATTGATTTGCATAAATAAAATTTACAATTTATTCAGAATAAAAAAAACAATTAACAGCAGTTAATTAATTGTTTAATTTCCATATTGGGTTTTATATAATTGTTATTTGTTGTATTAAAGACAGTTAAGTTTAGAATTCTATTAGTTTTTTTATTAAAATAAAAACTATAAATGTAAAATCAATGATATGCATTTACATTTTGTACATTTTTAACATACCTAACAATTAGTTAATATTTTATTAAGAAATTCTGCATAAAAATATTACGTAGAAAACTAATAGAATGAATTATTATACTAGTTTATCTTACCCATAAAGTATAATTTGAATTGGGTAACCACCACACTGATCTATAAATGTTTAAATATTGCAAATAAGTGGAAAATGAAGCAAAAACTACCATTAATCCTTCAAATGTTATATTGCCATCATTATACATGCGTGGAGATGTGACTCGTGGTAATGTGTCATCAGATTTCATCTAGTACAATAAAACATTAATTATAATATACAAAATATGGAACTATCTTGAAAATGAATCTACTGGTCAGATCTCTGATGCAATAGTGGTTCAAAATATTGGCAAGTATAATCAATCACTAAACATTTTAATAAACCATTTTATTAATCATCTTTTTATGTGATCTGGCATTAGATTAGTCAATCATGGTCAATGGCACAGATGATTAATCTACCTGCACAAATTGGGAATTATGAAAATAATTTATAATTATTTTCAAAAATGCAAGTATCTGGGTATTAACACTTAATTTTGATAAATGTACATAGGGATTTGGGTCAACAGTTGAGATCCATTTGAAAAATAATTATGCACCATCAAAATATTTCATTTTGATTTTATTCAGAAGAATACCAAAATTACAGGTATTTATACTCATTTGTTAAATTCAACAGACTTACTTTTTTTAAACAGTCTGCCAAAAAATTAAAAAACTCCATTGTTTCACTTTTGTAAGCAAAACAAATTTCGTTTCTTTATTTAAAAATGTTAGAAGAACATAAGTCAATAACCCATTTATTGATTTTTTTGAGTTCCATTGGACGCTGTTGTACATAGAGTTTCGATTATTATATAGATTCGAGTGGTTTTAATGTGGTATATTGTATTGTAAGACATGGTGCCTTTTTGTAACGGTTTAAATTTAGAACAATTTCTAAGTCTTTATTAAATATCTTTAATATTTAAAAGCGATGGCACAGAAATAGTGAAGTTTTCAGCGTTCACGCCGAAATGTATAAATTAATATTACTAAAACTGAAGTATGGTAGTGTCGAAGTGTCGTTGTGAGGAACTACAAGTCTACAACTACGGTATAAATGTTTATAGTTGACACTACCATACCACCACAGAATAATATTGTGATACTACAGTGAATTTGATAATAAAAAATAATACTGATAAAACTAAAATAATGGTCGTGGTATAGACACAGAATAGATGAAACTATTTACAGTTATGTTCCTATTGGTTTGTTGACAGAAAAGAAAATTTTAATAAATTTAAATGAAGTTATTATTTTGTTTGTTTTTATAAAAGGTACAGGTAGTCTATTTTAAGATACCGGTTGCCTGTATTGGACCACTTAAAACATTTTACATAAGTTAAAATATTTCAGAGTAAACATTATAAATTAAAAAAAAATGATCTGTGAAATTGTAGCTTAGAAGTCTTGGTATCTTTGTAAATTGAAATACAGTTTCATGAAAATCTAACAAAAAATTAGCAGAAAAACTACAAAATGTCATAAATGGTTCAAATTAGGCGGCTCTCCTCTATATATATACACGCTATAGAGTATTATTTGTTGTAGTTAATGGTTTATTTAAATGTTTTATTGTATAACTAAATCTATATATATAAATGAATTTTTGGCTGTTTGTTGTGTATGCTTTGATCTTTACTACACCATTAATTCGGGGTTGGCCACATAGACCACGCTGTGTGGGCATTGCTATTAGTACATATATATAATAAATAAATAAAATCTATAACAGATTATAATTTTTACTATGCGTATATCGTACAATAATTATTCTGTAAATATACATTACATTTAGAGTTCAAATCAACCGTCGAGATAAAATTTTTGTACGGTACAATGGATTATGTACAATTTTTGTTTTTCTTTGTACTGGTGGTAACACTGAGGGGCATTTAGCTCAAAACTATCGTACTCCCATAAGACTCCATGTAAATTTTAAAAGAGTGTCCATTCTGCTTTCATCTATTCTGTGGTATAGAGCACGGACTATATATATATACATACATTTGATATGTTGGTCTATGGTATAGTCTGGTATAGACCAAGAAAGTTGTGGACGGGGTATAAAAAAAAAAATTTTCCGGTGATTAGAACTGAGAATTGAGAAGGCAGTAACTATTACTAGTAAGGCACATTTCAAATATCTGTGGCCTGTGCACGACGACGACGACGACGAATACTATTGACTATTAGGTCCTAACTATGCGGGATATGTATCCGATCGACTTGACTATTGAAATTGGCGTCAATTAAAAGAACTTGATAATTATTTATAATATTATAATAATACTGACTTATTTTGTTGTAAGATTAACGACTGACTAGCCGACAGTCACAAGTCGTTCTATAGGTATAATAATAGTGCGATTTCAAAGAATGAATATTTTTACTACCTTATGTGCCAATAAGTACCGACATTATAGTACACTTATAAAATATCACAGGTATTTCGCATTTTATTGTTGATTTTTGTTTTAAAGTCTTGTTTAATCTATTTTGTTGTTTAGTGTTCATACTATGTAATTTAATAATAATATATTATCTATAGACTATTTGTGTTGCCATGTTATTTTTAATTTTTAGTTTTACATCGATTTCGAATTTATAGATATGGCAGACCAAAATTTACTTCCGTAGTCATGCAAAAGAGATTTAAAAAAGATGATAATTTATCTACTCTATTCGTCCCAGTACCTGTAAAACCAAATCCAGATGATATAAATGTTGGTGTTGAACTCACTGGTAGACTGAATAAAGGCGATCTTTTAAAAGTACTAAATCGATTTTATCAGAAGCCTGAAATCAAGCAGTTAGCTTTAGAAAACGGATTAGATAGTAAGATATTTTTTGAAAATATTACCAAATCATAGACATTAAAAGATTTTTATGTTTCTATGTATCAAACTCAATTCACATTATAGTTGTTTTGTTTTAGATTATTTGCAGCACCAAGCATACATAAGTTTTAGAAGATATTGTCTTGAAGCCAATACATTGCCTGTTGATCTCCATGTAGTTATTAGTGATATTTTACAAGGAGCTGGACACGTAGATGATATACTTCCATATTTCTTGAGACATGCAAAACAAATGTTTCCACATCTTGAGTGTATGGATGATTTAAAGAAAATAAGCGATCTTAGATCACCTGCCAATTGGTTAGTTTATTTTATTTTATTTTGTTTTAATAATTTATTCTTTCAATACAGTTTTTTAAAGGATGATTTTCTTAAACTTAATTTGCTTCTATAGAAAATACTTTAATTCATATTTAATTATGTTTTTAAATACTCTCTTAAAATATATTGTTGTTATAATTCTAATTAAAATTATTTCAAGTTTTCAAATAATTTCTTCAATGTTAAACCATTTTATATGGAAAACTATGTTTTAAATATTGAATTACACATGCCAAATAACTCTTAAATTATATTTAGATTACTTAATATATTGGAACATTAAACAAAAGTGTTGGCTCTGTTTCACATTTCAGTTTTTACCGATTTTGAATTTATACAAGTGTAATAATATTTATTAAATTGTTGGTACTGATCATCATAAGTCCTCTAAATCTTTTTACACACTCATTAAAGAATGGATATTCAGTTTTTTCAAGTATCAAATTTATCAAATCCAATAAAATTTTATCACGCAAATAAATAAATCGGAAAATTACTACCTGCTTTACATAAAGTAATTGCTTTAAATTATTTATTATATAAACATGAATACTTTAACACAATAATTGAATAATTACTTTTTTATGCAATACTTTTTTTTTCCAACTATGCCTTGGTCTAAAGTATATTATACAGTGTTTAAAATGTTATATTCTGATAATTTTGTGTAGGTATCCAGAAGCAAGAGCTATTAATCGAAAAATTATATTTCATGCCGGTCCAACAAATAGTGGAAAAACATATCATGCTTTAGAAAAATACCTGTCATCGAATTCTGGAGTGTACTGTGGTCCTTTAAAACTTTTAGCTACTGAAGTGTATCGCAAAGCAAATGAAAGAGTAAGATAACATTAAGATATAATATGTTGATTTCATTTGACTGTTAAACTTTTCATAATTTTCACTTTTAGTCTAGAATATATAATTTTTTGTAATAATTGATTAATTTATAAAATAATACGACTTATTATATACAGCTCACTATTATTTCATAACATTTTAGGGCACACCTTGTGATTTGGTTACTGGAGAAGAAAGAAAATTTGCTGATGAAAAAAATGAAGCTTCTAAACATGTGTCTTGCACTGTTGAAATGGCAAATGTAAACACACCATGTATGTTAACTATTTATTCTTTTTGTATTATTTTTATTGATGTTTTTTTTCTTTATTTCAGATGATATAGCAGTAATTGATGAAATTCAAATGATGAAGGATCCTAGCCGTGGTTGGGCTTGGACAAGAGCTTTGCTTGGTTTAGTGGCCAATGAAATTCATATCTGTGGCGAAGAAGGTGCAGTTGATTTAGTTAAAGGTCTAATGATAACCACCGGTGAAGATGTTCAGGTATTGTATTAAAAACAATTTTTTTGTTTTATTTGTGTTACCTTTGATTTTTATTAGGTTTGTAGGTATAAACGCCTTACTGAATTAACTGTTGAAAATACAGCAGTTTGTACTCTAGACAATATTATGCCAGGTGATTGTATTGTTTGCTTCAGTAAAAATGATGTGTACACGGTAATTAAATATCTTTGAGTATGACGTTTAGAGATTTACCATTAATAGTATACATTAATTTAGGTAAGTCGAGGGATAGAATCCAGAGGTATTGAAGTAGCAGTTATATATGGTGGTTTGCCGCCTAATACAAAATTGGCTCAAGCACAAAAATTTAATGACCCTAAAAATTCTTGTAGTGTTCTAGTTGCTACTGATGCTATTGGAATGGGATTAAATTTGTAAGTTGTTAAATTCTTTTTTGTACAATTATCAGTTGCTGAAACAAAAGTTTTATACTTTTAGGAGTATTAGAAGAGTTATATTTTATTCATTAATAAAACCAACTTTAAATGAAAAGGGAGAAAAGGAAATGGATACTATTTCAGTGTCACAGGCACTTCAAATAGCCGGACGAGCTGGGCGTTATGGAACACAATATGAAAAAGTGAGTAAAAGATTTTATAATTATTATTCAATATTTATTTTTTTTTTTTAAATTAAAAACATTTTGTATTATTTAAGGGTTGTGTAACAACATTTAAGCCTCAAGACTTACCTACCTTAAGAAATATACTATCAGAAAAACCAGAACCTATACTTAAAGCAGGACTTCATCCAACTGCTGATCAGATAGAATTATATGCATACCATTTGCCAAATTCTACACTATCTAATCTTGTGGTTAGTGAAATAAAATTATAATTTCAATATATTTATGTAATTTATTTTATAATTTATTTTTTGTTATTAGGATATATTTATTTCATTATCAACAGTAGACGACTCATTATATTTCATGTGCAATATAGAAGATTTTAAATTTCTTGCTGATATGATACAGCATGTACCATTACCATTAAGAGCAAGGTACGTTTTCTGTTGTGCCCCCATTAACAGAAAAATGCCATTTGTATGCACCATGTTTCTTAAGGTAAATATTAAGATTGAAATAAGCAATTGTTAGGTATTAATGTATATTGTATGATGAATGATAACTTATTTTAATATGAGTTAAAACTTGCTTTTAACAGTATGCAAGGCAATATAGTAAAAATGAATCTATTACATTTGATTGGTTATGCAAACATATTGGATGGCCTTTCACTATTCCAAAAACGATTATTGACTTGGTACATTTAGAAGCAGTTTTTGATGTTCTTGACTTATATTTATGGTTTAGGTTTGTATAGTTTTTTAATATAACTATCTGAAAAAAATTATTTTATTGTAGTAATTACAGCAAACGCATTTTATATTATAGTTATAGGTTTTCTGATCTATTTCTTGAAGCAAATTTAGTGAGAGATATGCAATCAGAATTAGATGATATTATTGAACAAGGCGTGGTCCAAATTACTAGATTGTTAAAGAATTCTGAATC